AAAGACAGAAACTGGTCCACCCAAAGAACAAAGCACCGAGCCACAAACAAAGCAATGTGGTCTACTCCATTCAGTGTAATGAAGACTGGAGTGAACGCTACAATGGAGAAACAATACAGCCACTTCACAAGAGGATGTACCAACACAGACGACAGAGCAATAGTGGACCTCAGTCTGCTGTACAATCTCCACCTAAAAGCCACTAAACACTCCTTTGAGGATAGTGAGGTATAGATCGTAGCGTCGGTTTGAGAGAGGAGTTTAAAAAGCTATTTTTGTTAGGAAAGGCAATCCATCCTTGAACAAAAATGGAGGGCTCAGATCTGTCTCCCATTTGCCACTCCATCCTCAGACCTAAATCAAAACAAAGAAAACAATAGGGATAGCCAAGTCAGGTCCAAAGGTGTCAAAGCACCCATCATGGCCCTGAAGGATTATGCTAATATGACCCCACACTTAGTGCAGTTCAATAGACCAGGCTAAAAAACAGAAACTGTAAACAAATAGGGTGTTAGTTTCAGAGTAGTTTCATTTTAGTTAGCGTCTCCATTCAAGCAGATATTAGGCAGTGTCCACCATCGTTTGACCAGAACTAAAGAGGCAGCTTGGATGAGCTGTAAAACATATTCAACCAAAAAAAAAAAAAAAAAACCTATCAAAAAAAAATCTTTGTCAAGTTGTCTGAATTTCTCCTTTGTCATGGATTCTACCTGGACAACTGAGGGATTTTATGCACAATTTGAATGGACATAAATAGCAAATCACAAAGGCTGTCATGTTTGAAGTTCTATAATTACCTCCCTAAACAACAATACGTCTTTTCTTATTTTGCACAAAAACTGCTAAGCCTGTAGTTTAGATTTCTACAAACATGTTCTGAAACACACATGCTTCTTGTTTGTCAGTTCCAAGGCCTATTTGCCAATTCTTCTGGACGTGTTTAAAATGGGAACTTTGAACAGAATCCTTTCATTTAATTACAATCACAATGCTTGTCAGAAACATTGCAATTAGATATTTTCCTAAATTGTTCAGTTTTAGTCAAAACATATTGTGGTATTGATAGGTATTGATTATTGAGACTTTTCCTTAGTAAGTTTGAAAGTTTGGCATCATAACATGAGAGATGAGCTGTCTTTAGTTTCTCACTTTGTTGTCTGATCTGTAATATCTCAGACGCAAATTGTCGAGCTGCTATAACTTTGGGCAGAGTAAGAAATATACAATCGTAATTCCAATATTAACTTTTCTGGTAGAGGGTCCGTTACATCCTCGTCTCTGTGGAGAATGCTCCACAGTATTGCATTTAAAGGTATCTATCTCCATGGAGACAAAATAGTGACCACGAAGCCAAGTTGAGAGGTGACCTTGCTTGCGTTTTTTTAAGCAATAAAACCACTTCTAATTGAATAAATGTGAAATACGTACATTTAATGTCACTTTTCCAGCAAAGCTTTAACAACTCAAATCAGGAATCAGATGACAGACCCCCAACAGAAAAGTGCTCGATTTAAAATATTTCCTTAGTTATTTCACACAAATTTCAACAAAATATTACATAATTCATAACATACAATTATTTAAACACAGTTGTGAACTATAAGCAGCAGAGTTGGGGACTTGCAAGTCGTGAGTTGGACTTGAGTCAGACTTGAGTCACTGTTTTTAGGACTTGAAAATTTACTTGATAAAGTGGATTAAAACTTGGGAATCGACTTGGACTTGAAGATCAGTGACTTGGGACTTGACTTGGATTTGAGGCCTGTGACTTGAGAAGACTTGAGAAGCACTTTTAAATCTGAATTCTTTCTGTTCTGACTGTAATGATTCACACTAAGATCTTGTCAAAACATTTAAAGAAAAAAATTGCATTTCTACTATTCTTATACACTCTATAAATACTCTATGTATATAACATTTATTTATCTAACATTTTAAGTACAATTTAACTTGCACATATAATGCATATAAATTGCAAAATTCAAAGCTATATTTGGTATTTTGGTTTAAAGACTTGAAATGACTTGAAGCTCAAAGCAGATGACTTGGACCTAACTTTTGGGCCAGTGACTTGAGCCTAGACTTGGACTTGCCTGTATTTGACTTGGGACTTGACTCGGATTTGAGGTCAAAGACTTGAGACTTACTTGAGACTTGCAAAACGACGACTTGGTCCCACCTCTGATAAGCAGGATCTTAGGGACCCTCTTTCTGTTCCTGATCCACTCATTTTGAACATTGACCAATTACAGCATAAAATGGTGAAATCTGAACTTCACAGAATCGATCGCATTACGAAACATGATTATTGCATTATACTGTCACTTTGTAACATTTATAAGCTACATCATTGGTGCTCTTCTCTTGTTCCATGGCCCCTTTTCTTGTTTGTGTGCATGTTTTTTTCTGGTCTTTGCGGTTTCCCCCTCAGAGAGACACCAACTAGAGGCTCATGGGAAATATGCACTCAGCAGCCAGCATCCTAGAGGAGACATTGGGCGGAAATGAAGCAGATATTTCGGATTATCTCACTACAACACTATGACTGCTGGCTTTAATTCTCATTTTATTATACTTGTGGCTTAGAAGTAGCTTGTGGTATTACTGGCAGTAAAAAGGGAAGACATGGTGCTTGATACAGGAGTACAGAATTAGTTCTTAGTTCTTTCATAATCGTTTGCAATGGGTTCAATTCTTTACAGTAGTTTTAAGACCACTCGACTTTGGATTACATTATTGCTTAATATTGTTAGTATTACAGGCGTAGATTGCTAGGAGGATGTAAACAGTGTTCTGAAGAGGCTCTTGGGTTGCGTATCGGCTTGTTTTATTTATGTTCGAGATAAAATGTTATTGCTACTGTTCCTGAGAAGCTTCCCATTAAAATAATAGAGAAATACCAGACAGTCTTTGCAACAGTGATGGTCCTTTTATGTTGTTCGTTAAGTTTTTTGTGGAGTGAGATCACCGTTCTCATATTTACTCTCATTTCATTTCTTTGATTTATTTTATATGATATTGGTTATTTGGAGTCCCATTTGCACAATGCATCGCAATTGATCCTAGAATGTCCTCTGCAAAGAACAAAATTTCCTTTTCTTTTTTTTTTTTATAGGAAAAAAAAGTAGTAAGAATTCTACAAATGTTCTGAAATTCATGTAATTCTTGAATTACTGTAGTTTATCAGTTTGAGATTTCAGTCTGCTCTGTTATTGCTCCTGGGGTTGTTTACAGTATGCACTCTGAACAGAATTATTCTTTAAAAAAACATATCACAAATCAAATTTTAGTCACAATAGCATATATCTATCTGTCTCTATCTATCTATCTATCTCTCTGTCTATCTAGAGAGAGAGATCTAGATAGATAGATAGCCCTAACTCTGCATTCCCTCACCAATCCAAAATGTACACTACAGGTAAAATCATCCAGCTAAGATAGTCCTGACCAAGACTAGCTCAACATCATGAGATGGGTCACAGAGCGCTGTATGGCAGTAGGTCACTGCTCCTGACAGATGGCCTTGGCAGCACGGGTTGAAGAATGGGTCAAATGCCCCCTAACAGCGGGTCAATAAAGTGTACCGTAATCTTACCTTATTTGGGAGGTCCTGTCCTGAGAAGGCATGGACTATAGGGACATGAGACTATTCTCGATTGTCTTATTGCTTTAGAAAATTGTTACTACATTCCCAAGTGCTGTTATTATATATTATACAAGAGTAGATGTCTAATTTTCCGTGCATCGCCCCAAGTGGTCTCATATAACATAATATAGCCCTTTCCTGTGTGTAGCTTTTGCACCAGCTGCATTAAGTGAACATTTCCTTTATTTAATTGCCTGCCTCAGTGTATTACTGTAATAGTGGGACATGTGCCCTGGCTGCTCATGTCTAAATGTACCCAGTGGCTTTAAAAATAGCACAAACCCAATTCAGGAACAGAACTATTCAATATGAAGTGTTAAATATGACAGGTGACACAGGGACACCTGGTGCTGACACCTGGGACAATATAAGAAGTATAATTATTATTTTGGTGGTTTTTCCTCAGGACATAGAAGTTATAGCATCTCACCAGCACATGTCTGGCTCCCTCAGGGCTTCACTGGATAGCGGCCAATTGTGCTGCTTTCAAATATAGAGCCAATCTGATCTGTGTAGTGCATGTGATTGTACTGCTAAAAAGAAAAGCTTAGAGGTGTGCCGCAAGTGAAGTCAAATTTGGACGGTGATAAGAACAAAGAGTTAGTGAGAATTCACAGGGAGGAGCGAGAGAGGGAGAAAGAGAGAGAATTGAGTGCATTGCATTTTCTCAGCCAGAGGTTTTTAAACTTGTGGACTAACAATACCACCACGTTAATACAGCAGGGCTAATAAAACGTTTAATTAGACCCAAAAGTGTGATAAACATATCTGAGTGTAGAAACATTAGTTCAACATTCAGTAGTTCTGTCAATTCTGAACAAAATGTAATTTATTTATGTAGGCTGTCTATGTTATTTGCTTGTGAAAGGGCAATCTGATCTGCACAGGCTCCTTTATTTATTCATCTTGAATGAAAAAAATATTCTTAGAAATTGAACTTTCAGAAAAGTTCAAAATCACACAAAATAAATCTGTTATTTTGGAATAAAAGTAAAAGCTCTTTTGGCATAGATAAGAAATTAGTTTAACCATTTTATTTTTAATTTAGAAGTAATGGATAATTAATTGAATTTTTGATCAAGATCAGTATGAAGTGGTTTGATGCCAAATTCAAACTTTGGGAAATGTTTTGTGCTTAACAGCAGTGATTAAAAGTTTAAAAATGTGTTTTTGAAAAGAAAAAGTTAAATAAATAAGAAAAAACAAGATGAATCAGTATGAGGGGAAAAACATCATTCGATTTTTGCCTTATCATCCTATTTGGAATGTACCTCAAATCCTTCCATACATGAAAAACCCCAGTGACTTATGACTTTCCTCAAGAATCACCAAACTTTCTTTTCTCCTTTTCCAGGTATGACGTTGAGACCGGAGCGCCCGTCCTCTTCTCCCACCTCTAACCATGGAGTCAAACACATCCACATCCCTTTCATCTTCCCCCCGACCAACCCCAGGCAACCTCCCCGGACCCCCACCCAGGCAGGTCGTCCCACCACAATCCAGAAGCCCGTTGCACCTGGGCACCCTCTGACTCCCCAGCAGCAAGCAAGCCCGGTCCAACCTGGATCTCCGGTGAAGCCCTTAGTTCCGGTTCGTCCCGTGGTGGAGACCGGAGAGGCTGGACCCCCTGGATACGTGCGCAGGGTCACCGTGAGGAGAGGGTCCGAGGACTCAGTCCGCAGAAGCAGCCCACCGCTCACTGGGTTTGCAGGAGCACCAGGTGAGGACAAACTCAACAGGAATCAACTTGTAAATTGTAACTTGCTCGATCTATCACCTAAAGTAGATCATTTCATACTCGATAGAAGTGCTACAAAACTTATTTCATGAAGTCTGAAAATGCATAGGATACAAAAAAATCTATTAAAGGTGCATGTAAGTTTTTGGTGGAGGCTCTGCCATTTGTTCATCTTAATGGCGATAGGATTGCTTTGGCTGGAATGTTCCACAGTATGGCATAAAAACTATCCATGGACACAAGCCACCAAGCCAAGTGACAGGCCAGGTCTACAAAGAGGCCTGCTCACTGTAAGAATGCATGTTTTCGGTGTACTATTTTAAGCAATAATTAAACACCTGAAATTGAATAAATGCAAGACTTTTAGTGTCATATTGTGAAACATTCAAGGTAAAGCAATAACATCTCCATGGGGACAAAAAGAAAATGTGCATAGTGTGCCTTTAATTGATATTTCTGTATTTCTGTCTATGGAGTTTGAAAATTTTAGCTGGGCTTTTGTACTAAAAAAATTAATTGCAATCAAACAGAAATTGCTGTTTGAATTAGCAAACTAAAAAAGTATTATTTTATATTTATTTATTCCCTGCATTAAGGCCTGTTTGTAATTACTTTATTATATCTAATCTGATGTACAAAATTAATACAGTTTATTACGCTTGTCATGGTTCAAAACTATCTCCAACTCAAACAGTATATTTCATGCCTGTGGTAGAGTCAACCTTTTCTTTATTAAACTTAATCAGCTCCAGGCCTGAACACACATGAGTAGTTCATTAGTAACGCATGCTAGACTTTTACTGCATTTACTCATCAAACCACTTCACTATATTACTCAAAACATCTGTCTCTTACAGTAAATATGACTTATTCTCCTGCTTTTAATTAACTCAGGATAAAGAAATGTTACAAAAACAGAACAAGGGGTACAGTGTTGTGCGTCAACATGAGAGCTGTCGAAAGCAAACCTACGTCACACGATACACAGAGAATGTCATAGAAAATGTCATTCATTATCATGGCTTTACAATAGGGCTTTTTATCGTGAATGTATGTGTAAATGGATATTCTACATCTCTCTTGGGCTCTTTTCACAAATGCCCACATCGATCTCAAGGTTCCCTGAGTCTAGTCAATACGAGATCTCATTGTTCTCAAACAGGCCGAGTCAATAGCCAAGTCGCTCAAAACCACAATTATACAGCCCACAGTGTGAAGTTTTAACTGAAAGCATTCAAACTGGGCTAAAGTTTAAGAGGGGCTTTTGAATGCATTGATAGATACAGAATTTTGTTATGTACAACAGGTCAGTGATGGGCAAAGGAGCAGGTGAATCATTTTGATCACTAACTTCACAAATAAAACTAAATACTGTATGTTTGGTTTTATTTGGACACTGTCGTTACAAGACTGGAGGAGTGCATTGGCAGAGGTCTTTGCTATCCAATTCATTCTAGTTAAGGTTTTTGTCTACAGTAAAACACAGTTCATATTGAAAAACTATTTACACAGACATAACATTATGAACTGCCACAACTGGCATTTATTTTATTTTACGTACTGGAAATCTTTTTACATTTGTCTCAGAGGACTGTGACCATAAGACAATATTTATTTCCAAACTGTATTCTCAAGGACAATGTTAAAACAGAAATGCATCTCTGTGTATGGAGTCAAGATCCTGAACTTGTTAAATCATGAGTTTTAAAGCTGCACTAGTGTTTCAAAATGTAAGAAAATGTACAAGGATAAAATAATGATGGACTATGTGACTTGAGGGAAATGTTTAAAGTTAATGAAATGTAAACCACAAGAGAGATATTGTAGCATACATACGGCTCATTGGTGACTTGGTTTGGTTTATGGGGTGGGGATTGATTATTAAGAAATGTTTATTTATTTATTTATTTTTATCTGTGAAAGGAGCAGGGTTTATAAGATTTATCTTCTTCCTGTTCCTTTTGTTCATCCAGCAAAGACAAGACAGATAATGGTTGGAATATGTATTTATGTTAATTGTCAGATTTGTTGTTGTTGTTTCTCTTTAAATTGACACCAACAAATAACATCATGAGCAATAAATAAACTAAATATAGCAGAGGTCACTGAATGCCTGCGTTTTTGACCAGAAAGTTGCAAATTTACTTAGCTTGCAATGAAGAAGAATGATTAAGAATAGAATATAATGCTATTAAAACACCATATACACAGTTTAGTGGCAAAAGTGGATTTAGTGTTTAGTTTCACTTTAACTTCTTTAACTTACTTTATCATCATCAGTAAACCAAACCACAGCTCCCCTTCTGCTCTGAGAGAGTAGCAGATGGATTAAACCGATCAGTGAGTTCAAAGTGTGAATTCTCAGATGAAGAAAAAGATAGCTTTAGTTACATCCTTTGAAAGTAATTAAAATTAACCAAGCTCACATGAATCATAACTAAATCAAAATCAGGGTCAAGGCTTGAAGACAATTCTGATATGATTTTTAAGGTACATTTTGCCCTCCTCTACCAGTGATACCCCATAAATAAGAACTGTAGTTTTGAAAATTCTCCGACCGTGTTGACTACTCATCACAATGTGGATACTGTTAAATTCACTAAAATTGTTATTCTTACCATGAATTTCTGCTTTTTGGCAACAATACTGAAGACAAAAACTTGCTGTCTATGTAATGTACCCCACCCACTAACAGATGCCACGTACAAATTGCTATGGCCTCCTCTTCTGAACAGTATATATTTACCAGCATATCTATCTTTTACAGGTTATCCCCCTCAGCCTGCAGCACTCAGACCTCAAACCACCAACGGACGCCAAGGTACTCTTCATTATTAAACAGACACATGCATGTTCTGGGACGGCCATTTTGACGCCATCAGTGGGAAAAGAAAGTGCAAAAGCTGTGAATAATTTGCAGAAGGAACTGGATGCGTTCGCTTAAGCTCATGTGGGGGCGGACTGTGTGAGCCGTAGTCACTTACAAGACAGTTTTTGGCTTAGTGCTTCATGTTACTTTGATGGTAATTTGGAAATGCCATTAGAACAAGTAGAAAATAGTACAGGGGGCAGAAATACAACTTTTTTGCTGCAAGTTTCTAAAAGTTCAAATGGTTTATTTAAAGAAAACTGATGATTAATTTGTGTGTACTTTCTAGTTCCTGTGGCAGTGAAGCAGCCATGGAACCAGTTGTATCAAGCTAATGCACCAGGTAATCTCAAAGTATATCTAATTTATCCACCCATATCATGTTGCTCTTTAATTCATCTACATCCCCCATTTACATGAATAATAAATACATTAATAACATATATAATGCTATGTTTTTATATCAGCATTTGCAGCTCCTGTGGTGAAAGATCTGCATACATAAATTCAGTTTTAAATATTAGGAGGTTATATAGGTTGTTTTTCCCCTCAAGAGCTGCTCATGAATCTATCATGGGGAAAACATTTCTATTTAAAGGTCTTATATTACACAAAATTGACTCCTGTGAGCTTTAAGCCATGTTATAATGATTTTACCTCCTCTAAAAAACAGACCTGGAGCGGTGTTTTGTTTCATTCACGCATGTTTAAATCCTTATTATTAGTCTCTCTATATCTCCAAAGCTCAAAATGCTCTGTTCCACTTGTGATATCATGAAACATTTCTGTTTGAGATAAGAACTCAGCCTAAATACGCAGGATTTGTGTGTTAAAAGTGTGTGAATGAAACAAAACACAAGTCCAGGTCTGTTTTTGATGAAAAAATAATGTGTAATGGGCCTTTAACATATTAAAATACGTTTGCAGAGTACACGTAAAGGACAAGATAAAATCATACAAAGCTGCTTAAATGTTTATTGTCTTTGTGCATGGTGATATATGTTGTAGTCTATGATTGGACCCCATTTCAACGGGGAACAGCTGCCATAACGATTAACAATTAATTAACTATATATTTCATCTTTTTTTTTTTCGTTAAAGTTTATTGGAAACAAAGGAACAAAATATATTGTACACTGACACAGCACGTCAATTACAGTCCCCTTTCTCCTTTTCCAAAAATAAATAAAGTCTCCGTACATGTATTACAAAAATTGTCAAGCTTCAACAAAAAAAACTTGGTAAAAATAAACTATTTCATCTTTTGAATGTTCAGCTTCCTGATCAAAAGATACAGGATTTTATGTTGCTATATTATACTATGGAAACGGACCAAAACATCATTCTGAAAATCCACTGACAATCCATAAATATCTCCTTGAGGTGTCCATATGTTCACATTATCACTGTTTTTCTCTCTCTATGTGATATTTGTGGAAACTAAACATTTGAAAAACTTACCAAATCTGTTTTCTTTGCAGTGTCCTTGGACCCCAGCTCCTTCTCAGAGCCCTTCTCTTTCTCGGTTGGACTCACTCAGGTTCCCTTCACTAGAGACTTTGGCCTGATTCGCTTCAACAGGGTCCTGGTGAACGACGGGGGGCACTACAGTCCACACACAGGTACAAACAGATCTATGGTGTCTAGAGGAGCATCTGTATTTCTGTTGAGAATAGCAATAACACGAGAAATAAAGTGGAACTTGGAAATTCTAGGTAAAGTGCCATAATAAAAAGGTCTTTAAATATATCTTCTGTGGTCGCCACATCAAATCATTTGCAGCAATTTGACTATAAATTTAGAATTGTTTTATACCAGATGCCCTCCTCAGTTCAATCATATCTATTATATAAACTACATATACTTGCTTGTTTAGAAATGGTAAGAAATTAGTACTTATATATATAACTGTAACATTATGAGACTGAAATCACAATTAAATAGCATTTAAATGACCTCAAAGTTGCATGGTGGCACAGTGGTTAATGACACTGCCCCTAAGCCAGAAGGTCATAAGATTATTGCACATGATTTAGTGCAGTGTTTCCCAAACTTTTTTTCTGGGGACCCGTATTTTAAAAGTCACAAACCTTCACGACTCAAGTCAATAGACATTATTTGTAAATCACAAAATAAAGGTGCATTATTGAACATTAATGAGGATATTAGATGAGATTAGATGTCTCTCTGAACAATTAGTATTACTCAAGTTTTAAACAACGAAAAACAGTCATTGAAGCAGCAATAAGTTGCCTATTTGGACAGTAAAAGTAGTCCTTATTTTCATGATATACATTTATACATTTATACAGTTATTGTGATATTTTGTGGAGGCTAACAAAACTGTTAATATGCTACTTTTTCCTCTTAAAATGCCTTGACAAGACTTAATTTAAAGAACTAAGACTTAAAAGTGCTTAGAACTGTTCTTTCTTCTTGTAGTCTACACTGAAATGGAGCAAAGGGTCATGGTCTATGTAGTTCTCTGTCTTAACTCTTAATTTAAGCAAATAGACTTGTAATTTGATATATTGTGATGAGCCACGATATTATTGTGAGAACTCTGACTATGTGATATCACGATATTTCAGTTATTGTTACACACCTATAAATAGTCACTAGCTCGGTCATGTGTCAGAACCATATATTGCAGATCTACATGCAGATCGTGACAAGGTGACTCAAAAAAAATCTCTTCTGACGCACCTGAGGATCACGACCCGGTCTTTGGGAAACACTGATTTAGTGCATGTTGCTTGCAATGTTTAATGTGAGATCAAGTGATTGTATGTTTATATAATGAAGAATTAGTGGCTGCAGTTACTTTATAGCAATTTTAATCCTTTTGTTTCACTTCTTCTGTCTTTATATATTGTGTGGCATTCCATTTTCAATTCTTTTATTTTACTTGTATTTATCTCTATATGATATCTGAGGCACTGAGTGGGACAAATGTTCACTGAAGGTTAACATTATCTTAATTTTTCGTTGTCATTTTGGGGGGGAAAACATCTTGCTTGAATACCAAAGTGAATTATCCAAGAAAGTTATATTTAGAAGTAAACATCTGATCACAATAATTTTATATCCGGCTTGGGGTAAAACTATCTTCCAAAATCGAGGATGGAATTTTATTTTTAATACTGGATATCTTTAGCTCTGCTTTGGCCATTTTAACTGGGGAGTTGTGGTGTTCGATCTGCTAACAAACTTAATCCATTGCATTCCTGAATTAGAAACACTATTGACGTGTGTAAATCTGGTCTGCAGGGATCTTCACTGCTCCGGTGGACGGTCGATACCTGATCTCCGGTTTACTGACAGCTAGACCAGGCGACCAATTCGAAGCGGTGCTCTCAGTCTCCAACCGAAGCGTCCAGAAACTGCAAACTTCCACCTCTTTACCTGCAGTACCTGGATCGACCACCGGCGGGAGCTGTGGAGGCTGTGGAGGTTCTGTGTCTTTCAGCGTAATCCTACCCCTCAGGAAAGGAGAACAGGTCGGGTTGGTTCGGACGAGAGGTCAGCTCGCAATGACACCAGCTAGAGAAGTCCTATCAACGTTTAGTGCGATTTTTCTCTACGCGCCGCAAGCCAAAAGATAGCCACGGTTAAATCAACAACGAGGGACGATTATGGACTTAAAGGACACATATTATGCTTTCTCATGGCGGTAATTCTCCTTTAAACATGTTTTGTCAACTTGGGACAAGTATTTCACATTTGAAAAGTCTGCATTTGGAAAATATACTTACACACAACAAAAATTACACCTCTGCTTCCAATGGGATATTTAGGTGTCAGAACTTCCTCTGATGTCAACAACGGGAATGAACAATGGGGAAATAAACCTGACTGCAATGCTAATAGAGCCATGTTTGTTGTGAGTTGGGTGAAGGTCTATGGGATTAAAAATGGTGCAGAAGATATCCGGAATTTTACCTGTGACACAACAATCTTGGCAAAATGCAAACATTTTTGAGTGCTGAGAGAAGACCACTTTGAATGAATGGATCCATGAAACAAGAGTGAATGAAGTAAAGTACAACTACTGGTGTGTTTTTGATGAGGGGACAAGAATATTACATGATTGAAAGCTCACAAATTTGCATAATATGTGTTCTTTAAACTGGAGCGACTGGACTGGAGGACATGTAGCAGAGACCATTACGCCCAACGGGAGTGTGGACATCTCCAGTTCTTGATGTTAAAATGTATTTACTTCACACCTGTAGTGACAAAGCAGGATTTGTGCCTAATATATTGGATAACCTTTTTGTACCTACTGTATTGTAAATGTTTTGTTTATAAATTAATATGCAAAAATATTTTATTTTGTGAAAAAAAAATACTACTTGTAAACACAAAGAATGCCAAAACCTGCCCATGAAAGTGACATGTGGGGTGAATGGTCAACATTTGGGACATCTAGTGGTCAAATTCACATTCCAATAATTCAATATCTTCAGTATTAAATGTGCATTATGTAACTTTTTTAGGTGAAGGAACTGACCCCTGTCTGTATGGCGATTGTATTACCATAAAGAATGTCTGAAATGTTCCACAGTATGACTTTAAAACTCATCTTGTGTAGGGCTGGGTATCATTAAGAAGTTGCCAATATGATACATATCTCGATACATAGACCACGATACAATACATATTTCGATACTGTGCACTTTCAATTCGATACGATATATTTCAAATCGATTCGATACAGTTTAATAAAAAATAACTTCTTGTGCAACTAACTTCCACTTCTTATGCAAAGTTAATATGAAACACACCCATTTTAATCCTTAAAACTGTGAAAATGTCAAATGTGTCACATCAATGGGTTTTCTTCCTCTAAACAAGCAACAAAACTAAATAACTGGGTAAAATACACCAAAAAATACTCTTGGCAATATATCGATACAACAGCGCATTTATTCAGTTTCAGATATTCTTATTAAATACCTTGAAAAGCATGTATTCTTACTGTGAGTGGCGTCGCCTCTTCATACATCTAGGGTCTCATTTAGAATATTTTTGGTATTCTTACTAAAACTGAATATCAGAATAAAAAAAATACAAGCATCTTCATATTTAATTTCTTTATAAATGAGAACCCTGACCCTGTCGCTTGGCCTAGTGGGGTCACCTGTTGTGGAAGATACTAGAGAAAACAATAACATGTCCATGGAGGATGTGGTGAATCATCTACCAGAAATTTTACACAATGCACTTTTAAATGATTGTTTTGGTGCCATAAAAAGTTCATATAATTCAAAGCTTTATAACATCAAGTGGGCTCCACTACAATGTTCATGAGTGATTTGCTTTACACAATCTGACTTTTTTTTAACCACTGACATAGTTAAAAAATTAAACATAAAATAAAACGTGTAAATAAATATGTGCATAAAATAACCTGTGATAGACTGCTTCTCCTCCGGCAGATCTCAGCGTCTCTGGGCTCTAGTTGGAAACAGGAAGTAATGACATTCAATGGGCTTCTTCCACTGTGTTAATAATGCTTTACAATGTTTTAAATGTTTATTTTTCTGAGACGAACAATGCAAAGAGTGTTATTTTGATGTAAAAAATAAACTATGGAAAAAACGCACTGACTTGAGTTTCATTTTGTTGGACTATTATCTACTAGTGCGCATCTTTTTACACTTTGTGCTTTGCTTGAGTTGTAAATACAGTTTCGCCGCCCATTTAAGTCAAGCTTTAAACCAGCACTGCAGACAAACTAAAAGATAAAGAGGCACTTTACTCATTTTCTTCAGTAGGTTTTCCTCCACACTTACAAGATCCTGGCATTTACAAAAACATCTAGTCCAACTTTTGAATTAAAGGTATATCACGCATAAGTGACTCTTGTGAACTTTAGGCCATTTTATAATGTTTTTACCTCATCAAAAACATACCTGGAGTTCTGTTTTGTTAAGTTTGCACATATTTGAGTAAACCTTTATTAGTCTGTTGATCTCCAAAGCTCAAAATGCTCTGTACCACCTTATGATGTCATGTAGTGATAGGTTTTAAGTGAACGGCTCCTTTTAGAGAAGAGATTGCTAATTTTAGGTTGAAACTGTCCAAATGATTCTAGTGAAAGTGTATGGAGTTCAAAAACACAGTGGAGCACTTCCTGTATTAACACATGACATCACAAGGTGGACCAGAGTTTTCAGTTTGAGAGAAGAACTCAGCCTAAATATGGAGGGTTTGTGTGTTAAACGTGTGAATAAAACAAAACAGGAGACTCCAGGTATGTTTGTGAGGATGATGAGGAGGAAACAACATTGTATAACATGGATCAGAAATAGTGTAAAAGGCTTTTTAATGACTTCTTCCTGTAAGACTAATTAAATAGGCCCATCGTAAGTGTGGAAAAAATAAGATAATGCTCAAAATATATTCACATAAAATAATTAACTATTACACTAATTAAAAGCTGGTTTTATTTCATTATGTGCAGCTCTTTGGAAACCGCCTTTGTAAAATGTGCTATAAAAATAAAGTGGATCTGATTCTTATTTTTAGCTTAGTTAGAGCAAAATATAGCCTGATTAGAGGTAATGATAAGAACGGCTTACTTTCCATGCACTCAGAGTTGCTTTACAATCTCATACATTATTCATTCACTCTCCTTATGGTGGTGGCAAGATACTTCTGTAGCAGCTGGGATAAGATGAAATGATAACACAAGGTGAGCGTTTTGCCTAAGGACACAACAACAGCTCCTCTAAATTAACTCTTGGGAGCATTTAGACATGTTAGAACCAAAAATATACCTGGAGTTGTGTTTTCTTTCAATCAAACATGTAAGAGTAATTCTTTATTATTAGTCTGTCTACATCTCCAAAGCTCAAAATGTGCTGTTTCACCTTGTGATGTCATGAAGAGGTTAACAGCTTCCTTTTAACTTTAATTTAGAGCAGGAGTCTCCAACCTGTATCTATCCACCCCCTTACAAGTATCTTGCCAAGGGATTTCTGAAATATATATACTGTACTCCATAACTCAAATGTGATTAATTACCACTGTAAATGTGTTATTTTGAACTTTGTGCACTAATAAATGGATAATGGTTTATGTTTTATACGTATCCAACTGTAAAATATCTAAAGCTTGCCCTCTTATATCAACTCAATGTCTTGTGATCGCTAAAATGAGTAGCTCTCTGACATTTTCATTTGTAAAGGTAGATCACTGGATGCAAAAGGTTGGAGATCCCTGGTTTAGAGAGTGGAAATTCCAGAGCTAAAATCATTCAAATGAAGGTGTATAGAGTTTAAAAACACAGTGGAGCACTTCCTTTATTACCATATGACATCACAAGGTGGAACAGCATGTTTTCCGTTTGAGAGAAAAACCTAAATATGCAGGGTTTGTGTGTTAAACATGTATGAATGAAACAATTCCTGGTATGTTTTTTGACGAGGAAACATAATATGGATAAAGCTGAACACTGGCGCTTTAAAATGCCTGTACAGTATTTGTTTAGTCACTAAATATATATATATATATTTTTTTTTATGGTTTATTGGTTTTCCTCCGTCTCAAACCTATAGTAATATCATTAGAAAAGTGCTAGAATCTGAAGAAATGAATGAGCTCCTTCATTTAGAAAGTTTATTTAATACAAATATGACCAGATTGTTAGCTTTAGGTCATTGGTCTCTTCTTACAACAACATTTTTATCTTTTTTACATACTTCAAACCACATAACAAATCAACACAGCATACAATTAAGGAATTCAGACACAATCAAACAGAGCAAGCATCACCTTCTAACAAAATAAAATAGAAGTCCCACAAAATAAAATACAATAAGAAACAAAAGGCAAAGGTGAAATCAGCATATACAGTAGACTGCTAACATACAGCAGTGAAAACAAAATGATTATTATTGAGTATAGATTATAATATATACCGTGTTCCCAGGATTATAGAAGATGAGTGTGATGTGTCCACACAAGATGCTTCACTTTCATAGAAAGAATGGAAATCCTTTTGTTAATTTGAAGATAAAACTACTTCACTAAACTTCATAGATATTTAGACTTCATATGTAACAAGCAAGCAAACAAAATGAAGTATAGTATTAGATCAAGTGATGAAACTAAAAAATCAGCCCTGGAAAACAACATCAGAGACCACTGCAAGTTAACAGATAAGACATTTTTAGACCTGGTTTGTGTCTGGTTTTGATCCTGATTTCTCCTGGTATAGACTTGTGGTACTTTGTTGACCTGACTGAATACAAAATCAGCCCGATCAGTCCATGTATAAGTTTTCCGGTGGAGGGACTGCTACAAGCTTTTCCGTCTCCATGCAAAGTTACAGGTCAGATCTATGGAGAGGCAACGTCACGCACAGTATGAATGTGTGTATTTCAGGTATTTTGGGATAAATAAAAAGCTGGGGTAAATAAAATGTACATTACAGGTCAAAAGATTTAGAACACCCTAATTTTTCCAGTTATTTATTGCAATTCAAGTTGAGCAAGTCCAATGAAGAGCTTGAAATGGCACAAAGGTAAATACTGAACAGCCAGAGGTTAAAAAAAGATAAAAGATACAAAACACAAGTTCAAGGTCTGCCAAAACAACCTCAGGAAAAAAGAACAAGATGATAAGCTTGAAAACATGGAGTGTCCAGCACAGCCTCCAGACTTAAACCCCATCGAGTTGGTTTGGGATGAACTGGACAGAATAGTGAAAGCCGAGCAACCTACAAGTGCCACACATTTATGGGAACTTCTGCTACAAACTTGGGAAGAATTTTCTGAAGAATATTTTATTTCTATTGTAAAAAAGAATGAGCCACGAGTGTGTTCAGCTGTTTTATCTGCCAAAGGTGGACACTTTCATCAGTTCAGTCAAAGTTTAGAATACGTTTTGGTCAACAGTAAATAGTAAACAGTAAAAAAAACGGAAAAAGTGTGGTGCTCTAAACCTTCTGACCAGTAGAGTATTCAGGAAATACAAGTTTAACATTACACACAAAGTAACAAAAAATCTCGTGGAGACAGCAAGTTGTGTCGCCAATCACCAGAAAAATTACATAGTAGAACTTTAAAGACCCTGGTTTAATTTCAGGTTAGTCTTCACTGTTAAGACATGTTTTAGAATTGCTTAGTTTAAAGTTGATTCAGTTGTAGTTTAGTCCAAGAATTGTTTCGTAATAGTACTTTTAATTAAAGATACATTGCAGTGGTTTCTTGTCATTTTCCTCGAGCTGTACATTGGAGCTAATTGAAAACAAAAAAGCGAAATAATAAATGAAATAATGTCGACCTATAGTGGCGATTAAAACAAAGCTATAGCTGTCATCATTACAAATTGTGCTTCCTGAATTTCGTCTCGCATTTCTCTCAAATATCATCCTCATTTTTTACCATGTGCCCATTGTCGCATACACATATATTCAATAAAGCACTTTGAACAGCTTCCTGTACTCAGTCAAGTATTTCCTGTTTGTTTCTACACAAAAAACAGTGGCTCTTCCCCTTCTCACGAAAGGATAAGGATCATGCACACAATTACCTCAAAACACTAGATTTCAAAACACCCACATTAGTACCAACAAATAATTAACATATTTAAATAGTCGCTTCATCGCTTGGATTCTCAAATGGTGCAAAACAGAAATGAGAAAATGAGAACTAAACCTGAAACTGAACCTAGACTGGACCACTTTGAGATATCTAAGAGGTATAAAGTAATTTTGATTGTGTAATAGTATATTTTTTAAGATAATATTTAGATTTTTCGTGACCAAAATGAACCAAAATAGCAGTATATTTGCTAAATACGTTTCATTATCTGACTATGTAATCTAGTTATCTAGGAAATGCGTCTGGTGAGGGTCCAAACTGGCTTTAAAATTAAAATTAAATTAGTTTTTTTCTTAATAAAACTTAATCTTAATCAAAATACCAGATGAGAATCCAAGCAAAGTAAAAAAATACATGTGATATCTTATTAAGCCCAAAAAATAGAGGTACATGTTCAACTCTCGCATACTCTTCTTGCCTATAGCACAAACAGGACATGTGCCAACTATAGCAAACCTACATCTCTGCTGCAGCTTAGTCAAAGTGCGTTGAATTTTGATACTTGGTTGGTTGCCGTGATCCACCACACAACCAAATACATACACACGCACTTGAGCTAGCCAGCGCCCTGTGGTCTTAACAAGTGACATTTCCCGAACAGAAATCTCTCAACTTAAGCTCTTGGTTCCATCTCAAGTGTTTTCCCCTCACATCGAGATACACATTTGAATACAAAGCTGCAGAAAAATGGTGCTAGTGGATCATGTGTGTTATTCCACGTATCACTCTAAAACAAGGAATAGTTGGTACAAAGATTGTGTCCAGACGAAACACTACATCAGTGAATTAAAATGTGATAGGAGATATTTATTTCACTTTGGTAAATGTGTAAATGTAGTAAAATTTAAATCTATGTGTGTTTTTCCAGCTCAAATAAGCAGTTTTGTGAGAGATTTACTATGGAACTTTTCGGATGGAGATGCCATTGCTTTGCCTAGAATGTTCCACAGTATGGCATTTATCTTATCTACCACAATGGAGACAAACAGCAAAGAGACAAACCTGTGTTTTTTGTTTGTATTTAAGCAGAAAATGTAAAAAATGAACCAATAATGCAATATTGTGGAAGATAACTATCCAGGTTGGCGCCACCTAGTGCCTCCGCTCTATCGCATTTCTCTCCAGCGACTAGGTCAGGAATCAGAATACACTAGACGGTTCGCAAAAACCCCTGAAGTGCGAGTTTGGGGTCCAGACAATCAGCGAAAAGCCATACATTCTGTGTTGGCAACGATTCCCAAGATCGAGGATTTAAAGCCGGAACAAAGAGAATGTTTGTTGAATTTTATCAAGGGAAAAAACGTTATTGCCCTTCTTCCTACTGGATTTGGGAAAAAAACTTAATATACCAGTTATCCCCGTTAGCGGCGCATTACAGACATCACGACCAAATAGCAGTGATTGGTTAAATGATAAAAAGTACACACCTACTGGCAAGCGAACAAATTCTAACGCTGTGAGGTCAAATGGCTTCTACGAAGTGAAACCGTCTGATGAATCAGGCTAGAAGACACCAGGCAAAGCATTGACATCTCCATGGAGACAAGCTGGTTGTGAATCCCAAACAGAAAAGTTACATAGTGCACTTTTATTTTGAATAGAATAACAGAAATAACAATTTCTAATTCACTGATGTAGCCCTCTATATTATTATCATTGTTATTATTATTAGTGCATCTCAATATCTCCACATTGCATTGCTGCCAGTCAAATTTCAGACAACCAAAGGCAATGCAGTTTAATAATTTAAACATACTAATCAACATAAATAAAGTTAAACACACACGATCGAGCCAAGTGTGTACAAAACATAATATTAAAACAACAGCAATAGACAATAGCTGCATTTTGTATATTTAACTTTTCACATTCTTGTTGGTTATAGAATATCTAACTGTGTCTCTGCATTTTACTTATTTAGTACAAACTTCTAAGAAAAGAAAAATCAAAATCTGCAAGTGAAATCATGACCTTTCCGTGAGTATTAGTGAAGGTTAGAAACAAAAATCATGTTCTTAATAAATGCAGATAGACTTACTACTATAGTAATATGTTGTTATTCACTGATCATAGCATACACTATAATTATATATTTTTCTTAAATTGTTTATTAAATTAGAACTGTCTTCACTATTTTGACCAACTAGACAGACAACCAAAAAAATAGCAACTTATTTTTTCATTTTTTGTAATAATAGAAATTTATATATTTTTTCATATGGTGTAGAAATAATTATTTTCAAGTTAAGTCATCATTCTCAATTCAAAAAGTTAGTCTTTTTTTTAATATGAAAAGCAGATATTTTTATTATTATTATCTGGAGTTTGTGTCCTTCCTGTGTAACTGAGTTCAGCCGGGCTTCCTCCTGCTGTCCAAAGACAAGCATAGGAAAGTTTAAATAGGAACTGAACTGAATCAATGTGTGTAATCCGTGTGTCATGCGTTCATTCATTTTTCAGTATAAAACCAAAAATAAGAAAACTAAAAAACAACAGTTTTCTTCATTACTTGTCTCCAAAACCAAAATGAAAAAACAGATAACGATTTGTTTTTTCAGTTTTCGATTTTGTGTTCAAATGAATAATGGAAAAAATGGATAACGGCCGTTTCCTTAGACTTAGATCAGGACTGAGTCTGGGACCGGAACAGAGACCAGGACTGAGACCGGGACTGGGACCAAGACCAGGACAGGACCGGACCAGGACTGAGACCAGGACTGAGGCCGGGACCAGACAGTGATTGAGACCGGGACTGAGAATGGGACTGAAACCGGGACCAGACCAGGACCAGACCAGGACTGAAAATGGTTTAGTACTGGTTCATTCCTGGTTCAGATCGTATGCAGTTCAGAAGTCCGGCATTGCAGTTTAAGTCAGATAAACGGGAAATGGCTGTGTTTTTCATTATTCATTTAAAATTTTAAAATTTAATTAAAAAAAAAAAAACTAAATCGAAAACTGAAAAAACTAATCGTTATCTGTTTTTTCATTTTGATTTTGGAGACAAATAATGAAGAAAACAGTTGTTCTTTTCATTTTTTGATTTTTGATTTTATATTGAAAAACAAATGAATGAATGATAAACGAATCGTGTGTACTTGCCATGTTGGTGACTGGTACTTTGCTAACCAACAAAGCACTGGTGAGGGCATACTCTGCGTACAGCTTGTAGTAGCAGAGATACCCGTGATTTTGTACAAATACTAAAATACAATTGGCCGCTTTGACATGAAAACCATTTGAATACTTGATCACACTTTTTATATAAGCCTTGATGTATTCTATGTACCTCATTAAGTTCAAAGTAACAACCTATAATACTATGTAACTAGTACTTAGGGTGTAATTACAGGTTGATGGTGCGTTATATTGGCATTGCTTCTGGTTCATAAAAACACCCTTTACTTTATGCAATGTTGTAAAAGCAGCTATTTGTGAGGGGAAATTAAATAAATTTTCCAGTGAAGCAATAAAAGTATTTTGTATTGGATAAGAACCATATGGACACAACTGCGAGTGACAATCCCGGAGTTTTGTTGCTTTACTATGGTTCCCAGGTACAGGACTTTTAATGTAGTAGCAAGTAAGTGTGACCAGTTATTTTAAAAGATGTATTATGTAACTTTCCTGGAAGGTCTGTCACGCCTATGAAGATGTTTTTTACTTTGCTTTGAATGTTCCATAGAAATGCATGTTTTCCAACCGATAAAAAGTAAACTATAATGCCATACTCTGAATCATTCCAAACAAAGCAATACATCTCCATAGAGTCAAGACAAACTGGTAGTGGAACCCCCTCTCTGAAAAGTTACATAGTGCACCTTTAAATTAGTTTAACCATTATTTCTACTCTCAGATGAATGCTTTTGGTCAGTAGGAGGAAGAGGTGTTTTCTTGTGGTGTGGTCTTGTTGTTCGGTTGCTTGGTTACCTAAAGCTGCATTGAAGTGCACAGATTCGCGTCCTGTTTGCGGTCATTACTGCGGGGTCTGGTACAGTCGGGATCAGAGCAGCTCGTCCGGGTTGATGTCCGGCAGAGGCTGTCTCCAGTAACAAAAGGAGCTGAACTCTGGCAACACGAAGGCCTCAGTCTGCTCTTTACTCAACAGAGGAAAGACGTGCTCCACCAACTCGCTAAGCCTGCAATACCTGGAGAGAGCGACAGCGAGAGACAGAGTGGAGAGAGATGGGAGAGGGGGGGAGAGGAAGAGAAAGCAGAAGAGAGAGAGGAGGGAGAGAGGTAGAGAAGCAGGTTGAGAGAGAGCAGAAGGGAGAAGAGAGAGAAGAGAGTAGAGGGGAAAGAGGAGAGAAGAGAAAAGGGAGAAGAGAGGGAGAGCGAGAGAGGGAAAGAGAGGTTGAGGGTATGGGCGAGGCGGAGGGGGGTTGACGGACAGAGAGAGGGGGATGTGGAGAGAAGAGAGAGGAGTGGAGAAAGGCGGAGAGAAAGAACCCATGGTCATTCAAAGACAGGCAAGGACGATGATACAAAATGTGAAAAATGAAGTGAGCCGAGCAAAACAGAACAAGACGACGCTGGTGAGATTAAAATTGTGAGTCAGATTCACCACAAGAAATACAAAATATTGAAACCACCGGGGTTAAAGAAAGACTGAGCCAAAATAACAAGGACTATGCCAGGCAAAAAAGGATTTATCTACTCGCAGCAGTGAGTTATACAGTTTTAAGCACTGCTCCAAGTGGTTTGATCTGCGAAGTCATGATCCCACAAATTGAAAATAGTTCACTTTTGAATCTGACCTTTATGCTTTTCACTGAAGCATTTGTCTTTTTGTTTGGATACGAGTCGAGACTATTGAAAAACTATTCAGGAAAAGTTACATGTGATTTTTATGTCTACAATAACAAAATAAGAAAGTAATATATTTATCACAAGTGTCATACCTTGCTTCTTTAACTTCTAAGAAGATTAATTATCAATAGTCTATGCTTTTATTAGCACTTACTGAATCACAGGCTTTTGTTGACTGACAAATCCAGAAGGATATGTCTGTATTTTTTTTATACAGATGGATCAGTCTAGTCCCCACACCCTCTTCTGCGTCTCAAGCAAACACGATGTTGCAATCACTTTTTTTTTTTTCCAATGACGCATGTTAAATGAGGTAGCTCATTGATCACCTATGATTTACAAACAAAATCACATTTCTTCACTTCAGATTAACAGAGTTTAATGCTTTGCTCATTGATTTAGCAGAAATTTGTGGTGTTTTTCAGTCCCTTCTGATATTGTTTCCTATCTTTTTTCCCCATAAGCAACTATATTTGTTTTGATACGAGCGGACCATATATGTCCCTGATTGAAAAAGAGGAAACCAGACGGGTGTGACTGGCAGGTGGATTAACCAAACGATGACCAGGCTCACATCTTCGTAAAGTAAAGTGTGTGTACTCTGGGTCCCAGGCAACAGGCCTTGAAGAGTTCATTCATTTGAGAACTCATGACTACAAGGCATAAACATGACCAAGGCCAAAAAAGATCAAAGCTGTAGCAGGAATCCTGGGAGATAACCAGATAATGCACATCCAGTGGGACCAGGCACATACTGTAATATGAGAAGCTGAATGATTGATAGATGAGCGGACTTACGAGGATTTGTTGCCTTTGGTCTGCTCCTGGATCAGCTCTCCTTTGGGGTTCACGGTGAAGATTCTGCACTCGGGGACCCCCACCTCCTTATAGGCAAACACATCCTGAAGAGAACAGGAAGAGATTAGTTTAGGTTTGGCTGAAAGTGTTTTGACAGTATCCATAAACAATTGTGCAACCTTGTGAGAAAAAGGTTGCATGGTGTGGCTTGTGAATTACTTCTGTTGTATTCAGGGGTGGAAAGTGACTCATTTCAAATAGCGTTGTCATGATACAAAAATATCAAACTCAATTTTGATACTAAGCCATAGATTTGATACTCAATACACAGTCTGATACACCGTGATAATAAAAAACACCATAATACTTTCTTTTATATTCTCATGTGGTCTTAAATCTGTGTAATCACTCAGTTGTCCAGGTAGGTTTCATAGTGGTCCATGGGTGTATACTAGTCTGTGTGTGTGCTCTGATACTGATAAAAAAAACAAAAAACTATTTAACAAAGATTAATACCTGTGAATGTGATTTTGTTAGGGCTTGCTCAAATGAGTATCTAGTTTCAATAACAGTATTAATATCGATTAGTATCTAATTTTCGATATTTTTGACAACTTTCATTTCATCTTACTTAGGGGTGTAACAATATCCAAGTCTTACGATACGATATTGTCATGGTATGAATCTCACGGTTCGGTATTTACTGCGATATCATAGGAAAGCTCACAATATAGTGGGGAGGCTCACGATTAGCGATGTAACAATATCCAAATCTCTCAGTACGATATTTTCATGATATACATCTCACGGTACAATATATAATGTGATATTTTGTGGAGCTAACAAAACTATGAATATGCGACTGTTTCCTCTTAAAATGCCTTGACAAGACAATCCAAAGAACTAAGACTTTAAAGTGCTTAGAACTGTTATTTCTTCATGTAGTCTGCACTGAAACGGAGCAAAGGATCACGGTCTGCGGTCTTTTCTTCGCTATTGCTGTACCATAACTCGTAATTAAAGCAAAGAGACTTGTAATTCGATATATTGTGATGGTCTATGATATTATTGTGAGAACTTTGACGATACAATATCACAATATTTCGGATACTGTTACATCCCTAATGTTACTATAATGGAGTACATTTTTGGGTAATTGGGCTTTTTAAGTAGATTTGAAATTGACAAAAATTCTAGCCATGCAATTGTACTTAAATTTAGGAATTACTGAGCAGCAAGTGCCCAATAACTTTTGGGAGCAGGACTGAATACACGTTTAACAAAGTAAAACAAAACAAAACAAACAAACAAAAATATTTCTTATTCAGAAGAATAATTTTAACCACTCTCAATGTCTGAATCTCATTATATAGAAAAATCTACTTTCTGTTCCCACACAAATTGAACATAACACTATCTATTGTACCGTCCTGCTTGACAGTTTTATACAAGCGTCCAATGATGTAACTCGTCGAAAGTGGAAAATAATCACATTATTGACATCAACTGCTAATTTCCTGTTTGTGCCATTCACTAATGCATGAAATGAGAGGACTTCTGGGCTAAACATTGGACAGTGAATGCTCATATTGTTTTAAAGAGACAGAGAGGAAGATTATGTAGCGGGGTGGTTCTTGTTTGTTCAGCTGAAGACGTGATGCTGTGCCCGGTTAGTCTGACCTCAGCCATGGGTCATCACAACATTGATATCATTTGTTTGTTTAGGGGCATGGTAAAATCACAGCATATGGAGTTACTGTAGAAAGCACTGGTTATAGGAAACATGAGGGATGGAGTTTTATTGGAATAGTGTGTCATAAAAAGGCTATTGTGTTTTATGGGCAGAGATAATGAATGATTGGAAAACACTGTAATCTTGTGATAGAGCATATGACTATCACGTTTAATTATGTGCTGCATACTAAGCAAAACATTATGTGCTTTTGTCTGATGTATAGTTATAATCTATGACACCGGTCGATCATTATGTTATATTTTGAACATTTTAGATTGCAGTATTGATGCAGAATCCTACCCGTATCACTCTAAACAACTTCCAGTGAGTAAGCAAGGGGGAAATCATTATAACTTGTATAGTCTTACATAATAGGTCTCCTCCTAAAATAAAGCTACTACAGGGATGTCAAGATTATTTGGTTAATCAATAATTACTATTATTGTACGGTATGAGTAGTTTTTAACTGTAATAATATAACCTAATAATTACTAATCATTAAAAGCATTAAAAACATTTATGTGACTGTTTATGTCACTTTAACTTTACTATATATTTTAAAATTTCATTGGGGAAATGGTAATTTCAGAGGTGGGACCAAGTCGTTGTTTTGCAAGTCTCAAGTAAGTCTTAAGTCTTTGACCTCAAGTCTGAGTCAAGTCCCAAATCAAAGACAGGCAAGTCCAAGTCGAATCTCGAGTCACAGGCCCAATAAGTTCCAAGTCAATTCGTCTGCTTTGAGCTTCAAGTCATTTCAAGTCTTTAAACCAAAGCACCAAATGTGGCTGAGATTTTTGCAGTTTATGTAATTTTTAAACTAAATTGTACTTAAAAAGTCACGGTACATGAGTATTTATTTAAGAGTTGTAGAAATGCACATTTTTTTCAAGAGTGCGAATTATTATTGTCAAAACGGAAAGAATGAAGATTTAAGAGTGATTAATAACAGTTATTTTGTCAACTAGTCTAAGCATCAAATCTTCTCAAGTCACAGGGCTCAAGTCTGATTCAAGTCCCAAGTCACTGACCTTTAAGTCCAAGTTGAATCCCAAGTCTTTGTCTATTTTATCAAGTCAAGTCCTAAAAGTCCTAAAAACTCAAGTCTGACTCGACTACAAGTCACGATTTGCAAGTGCCCAGCTCTGGTAATTATTAGTACAAAGTAAATTAAATCACATACAAAATGCTTACAATTATAACGAAAAGTATTACAATTATACTTTAAAAATTGTAAGATCATATTTAAGACTTCTATTATAATCACAATAAATAGATGATTCTTGACATTCCTAACTGAACAAAAGTTTTGAAGCGCATGCAGAGGAGGCCTTTCTACTTGATACAGCAAACAGAAAACAAGAGCCAAGTGTGCGTCATAAAGCGATCAAGTAGACTCCTAAACAGTATTTTACTCCAAAATATCTCTGACAGAGCTCAGCAGATAAAGATTAGAAGCTAGTGCAGGTTTTCGGTTTCTGAAAATACTGAAGCTACAGTCACTCAGGAGTATCCTCTGTCTCTGACCTCAGCCATGGCTCACACAGCGGTCATATCATGTTTTACTTTAGTGTGGTCCTGATATTCCTGTATGGAGTTACTGTATCTTGCTGGAAACTTCGTGATTCACAGCAGATCTATGGGTGTGTTTGTTGTGTCTGGCTCTATCTGTCAAACGTCCATTAACTCACATTAGTCCTATTCCCAAAAGCGGCGTAGAATGGCTGTTTATTGTGCTGGAACAGGTTCCTGATGTCCGTAAGGCATTCGATCTTAAAGATTTCAGGTTTCTTCTCGATAACTTCCCTGAAAGACAAAAAAGGACTTTGATTAAACACGGCATGGGCAGTATTTTATTCATAATGTTTTGCATAGCATGTAAATTAGGTGGGTGTTGTTGATAAAATAAACCTTTATTAGTCCCACAATAAGGAAATTTCAGTGTTGCAACGGTCCTCATCCAACAAAATGCATTTAAAAACGTATAGCAAATATCATTGTGTTTAATTGTATTTCACACAATTATACTTTTCAAGACACAGTATGGAGTAAATGGCTTTTTTTTAAGCAGAAAGAATAAATCCAGCACTAAACCTGGACTAGACCTGGACTACAACAGACCAAATCAAGTCTATATCAAGACCAAAATCAGACCATGCATATACATCGCATCAGAGTGTGAACTAAAGTAGGATAAAACCTGGAACCAAGAAAGCCAAAGCCTAACCTGCCCAGTGCCTTAGACATGCATTACCTGTGAAAGGCAGAGAACAGGCTGCTGGGAGAGAGCATGAGGGGTCCACGAGGCAGAATGATCCCTCCATCATTGACCCACTGCAGGTAGCCGCGTGTCATGTCCGCCATCCCGATTGCCCGCGCAGAGCAGTACAGGAACTTGTACCCGTTTCTGAACACAGACAGGGAGCTCATTAGGGACCGAGCCACTGGACTCAACCATCAGGACCAATGTCATTAGAGATACTAAGAATAGCAACTAAACTGACTGCTTTGTGAAACACTACGGAATTTTGTGCAGTCATAAAAAATTTTATATTTGATTTTGTTACTAAGAAAATGGTATAATACTCAATATATTTTGATTCCATAATGGCATAAAAACAGTATTGATACTTACTTTGAAATCCGTATATGATATTTATACTGTTACAGTACTGAGTATCTGTTACTATCTGTCTATTATATTGTATTAGCACCCTAATATAATGCTACAAAATACAACTTCTCTATTCTCAAGAGCAGATGCAACTAAGAAAGAAAATTTAAATCATAAACAAGATGTCTATAAAGCTCAAATATAGTTACTAAAATAGCTTGAGAGATGTTTTGCACTTAGATTAAAACAACTGGTCATTATTGGTCATTAGTACATGCATTCAATATGTTGCTCTGAATAAATGCAATGCTAGTTTTACTCAGTCATGCATCGGTCAAACTATGAACAGACAACTGTGGACGTGTACCCAGACCCTGTCCAGACCCTTGATTTCAAACATAATGAGAGCTCAAATCTGTGTGGCACTTACTCAGCGACAGAGTGGTAGAGTTTAGCGATGCCTTGATGCGTCCAGTCCTTCCCCAGCTGAGGCAGAATCTGTCCAAATACATCAGACCTAAACCAGAGAAAAGGTCAAATTATTAGAACAAGGAGCGGGTGATGAAACAAAAAAAATGTATCACAACTCTCACATCACTGGTTAAAGGTGAAGATAGAAAGTTACAAAAATTTGCCTTGTTTTCCACATTTCGAATTAGGTAATTTGAAAGGTGCACAAACTTTTCTGCATGTTCTTTCTCTTTCTCCATGGAAAGAATGCTAGAGTATTCCACAGTATGGCATTAAATCTATCTATATCTGTGGAATGTGTGTGGAATAATGTGGATACAGTATACTATAACTTCTAAATGGAGACAAGCAAGCATCAGACCACCTACCAGGAAAGGTACATAATGAACCTTTAAAGGGCCCATATTACGCCATTTTCTGATCTATGTTATAATAATAATAAATCAAAACATACCCATAGTTGTGTTTTGTTTCATTCACACATGTTTAACACACAAGCCCTGCATATATAGGCAGTTCTCTCAAACTAAAAACACTCTGGAGTAATCCTGCATTATTAGTCTAACATGTGTGAATGAAACAAAACACAACTCCAAGTATCATTTTGATTTGATTTGGCTTGTGTAATATAGCACTTTAAAATCCAAATTCACTTAAGGGTATAATACTTTTACCAACAGGAGTGTGTGAGAGGGAAAAAGTAGTTTGCATCATAGAATTTGATTTTGTACCTTCCATGCAAAGGTCAAACTCAACAAACACAAGACATCAGGACTTGAGGAGTAAAGATTCTTGGATATCACCAAAAGTTCACATAAAACCACTTGGGAATGACAACCTAATCTTCACAGCCCTGTAAATCCTATAATGTATGTGTTTTAGGGGTTTAAAGAAGGTCACTCTCCCCTCATCGATACTTTTCATTATAAATAACAAACAGAGCTCCGGTTAATGAGGATACAATAGCCATAAGGGAGGAGCTGTCTGCACTGGAGCTTATGGCAAGTATAGCCTCTCGCTGAAATGCAAATAGGCTCATTATAGTGACGGTGCTCTCCCCTATTACTCAAAGAAAGCCACAAATGTCACAGGTTGGCCTATGGGGTCAGGCTGATAACAAGGTCTAGTCAGTGCGGGCAGCTGTGATTTTGACCACCTCCTGGCCCCGACACAGCTCGCAACGTCAATTTAGCTCCAAATGAGAACCAGCTCATTTTGGGAATAATTAAAAGCCCAAAGTAAACAGAACAAGGGTTATAGACTTAATTAAGACAGGCTATTTAAACAACTGGTAATGAAGAGATTCTCAAAGACATGGGGGGTGTTACAAAAAAGTAATTAAGCGATCGTTAAATCTATAATCTACGCTAATGTATATTTCTTAAATACTTACAATTCATAGCTTCATACACTGACTTTGATGCTAAAGTTACTCAAATTTGCTTTTATTTTCTAAACATATTATGTAAATCACCAAATGCTTGTTTCCATGGAGATTGCTTAGTATTGCTTTGCTCTAAGTGGTCCATATAATCGCATTAAACACTTCTATCACAATGGACAAGCATGTAAGTTACTGGTTAGATCTATGGAGAAGTGAGCCCACTCATAGTAAGAATACATGTGTAGTAAAGTACAATGAATCACTATATTTGCATAACTTTACAATTATTTTTGTATAGTTATCTGGAACACTTAAAATATTCTGCAGTGAGAATAGCTGAGTTAAAATAGAAATGATAAAATGTGTGGTAGCAGTAAAAGTAGTGCAGCCCCGTGCTTCAGCTGCGACCTATGAGGCGAAGAGAGAGAGAGAGAGAGAGAGAGAGAGAGAGAGAGAGAGAGTGAGAGAAAGAGAGAAAGGGAGAGTGAGACAGAAACAGAGAGAGAGAGAGAGAGAGAGAGAGACGTGTAAAAATATTCCCTTCACCTGCAGTCTGAGTCACCAGCGGCCCAAGCGCTGGCACACTTTCTTTTTCTGAATGGACCCAGAAGCAGCCCAGAGCAGAGCACAGTTTAAAACAAAACTGGCAAACTATAAATGAAACATTTGTTATTTTGAGTAAATTTTCAGTCACTGGAGAATTTTCAAATACAGTTATGCCCAGTAGCTGCCAATATAAACTGACAATGTTCTGCTTCATGATTAAATGCCTCACTCTTGTCATATGCAGTTTCTGTTTTTTACACCCCTCATCCACTTTTAGTTGTTGTTGGCATGAAACTCCAAGTGTATGTTCTAAATAGACAATATAACAGTTTTAAAAAATAAAATATTTAGCTTATTTTCCACTTGTTATTCAAATACAGTTATTCTTCTGGAATGGCATTGCATGTAAAAGGTGATAGTTGCAAAGGTTAATGATGTGAAAGTATTTTGTTTTGTAAGAGTTTATATATTTTTAGTTTTTTACAGTTTTACGCAATCAATTAGGATTACAGAAATAATTCACAGTGCAATTATTAGCTATGATTCATGTTGAAATGAGAACATCTTGTTCTACAATAATGAAATTACCATGAGTAAGACTTTAAAATCATGTTTATTATGTTGTGAGTCCATACTTGGTAATGGTGCCGTCGATGTCGGAGATGATGACTTTGTCGTCCCAGTTCCACAGGTAGATGGTGCCCTCACAGCGACATGTGCCCTGGTACTGAGTCGTGATGCTGAACGTCACCTCATTGGGACCCTCTTTTAGCTTCAGACTGGCCTAAAACACACAATACTTCACATCACACCTGTGCAGCACTAAATACAATTTGTGTATATTGTGTATATTTAATATGTAAAGTTTTCCTCTGTTTTTCAATGGGTGTTAAAAGTAATGGCTTCAACATGTGCTTTTGCTCTTGGAAAAACTGCAAAAACAATTACAGCTGAACCTGGGATCCCATTAGAAGTCATTATTTTCTACTGAGAATACATCATATATAAAGCCTGTGTGGGTTGACTGCAAACTGTTTATTAGATACTGAATCTGGCAACCCAGTAAGGAGCTCCATTTGAGCTCTGAATATATTAAAACAACAGCTTGATAACCAAAATGTGTTTTTGTAAATGTGGATACATCAACAACATTATCAAAATAATCAATATCTGATTTTTTTCTAATCTAAATACACATCTAATATACTTTCATTATAGACCCAGTGGTGGGCGTTAAATTGTTGATGTCTTTTTTCAACGTACCTTTCATTCATCATTCTGGGACTTTCTCGAGTCAAAAGAATACATTGGTATAGGTCTTTGGAGCCATCTGCAGGACGATTCGTGTAAGTGCATTAAATATAACAATTGACTGGCAGATGGCGCTCCAACACACTACAGGAATTTCTAATCTGGATATGTTTGGTTTAGAGGTAAATTATTGAAAGAATGCTAATATGTAGATAGAACTACATTTGATGCTAAAATTGTGAATGTATAAATAAATATAATACTGTAAATAAATAATTAATTTACTAGGTGCTTCATAGCACTTCTGGTTAGATGTTACTCTGATATGACCAATAAACATTGTATGTAACATGAACATTATATTGTGATATATGTAATGCAGTACTTACGATCTGGTCAGAGGAGAGACGTAGGGACTTCCTGTAGGTGTGCATGGTCGTGTGGTGCTGAGATTCTCCACTCTGAAGTCTGTCCTGACACGAGGCGGCGCTCACCTCCTTCGCCTCCTCATCACTGGACGAGTCTCCTACTTTAGCTCTAGACCACAAAAATGTGCCATGTTTTTTATGGTGTGTATTTTTCAGTTGCATGTTACTTGACATTTATAGAATGGCAATCAATGGGTTTCAGCTTCCTGTTATATGAAACCATTTCAAAGGACTTTTTCCACATATAAAAGATAATGTTATGACAACAATCGTAATTTTTCGTACGTCTGAAACCCAAGAAGAGAAACTGCATATTTACAGCAATGAGGAACAAATGCCATTTGCAGCCTTGTTATTACGACCAAGCAAATACTAACTAATTTAGTCTTTATACTGGGTTATGGGCAAAATTATAACATTATTTCCATAAATGGGTTAAATAAAGACAGATGAGTTCTTTTTAAATGAAAAACAAAAAAATATATAACTACCGTACACTTTTAGTTACCATGACATCTTCATCCTGTTACCATGTTATTACTATGCAGTGATGTGCACTGTTTTGTCATGCAAAAGTGCACAGTTTTAGTTTCAAACTTACATTAAGGGCATTTTGTCCTGAGGCAGCAAGGGTCCTTCTTCTAACTGGGACTCCTCCTTGGCTTCAAGCTTTGTCTCAGACTGTATGACAAAAACAATTTAAATGTGTCCATAAAAATTTGTTATTGTGAGAAAATCAATTGGATATTGCTACTTGTACAGTGATATCCTACCAAGCTACTTTCTAAAATGGTCCATTTATACTTGTCATTTAATTAGATAGAAGTTATCATTATATAGACCTGTTTGATTGTACTATCCGCCCGTTTTCGCCAGAACCACCAGCGCCCTGACTTCTTTGGCATTTTCTCCTTCATCCAGGCCTCTTCTGTAGCCTGTCATTCACAAAATACACCCATTAAGTAAAAATTCAACTATAACATTTGTATCTTCAAAAACTTATCTTGCCCTGTACCTTTGGTAAGTTTTTCTGAAACGCTTGAAGACTTAAAATTAAGGGAGCAGCAAGGGTCCAGTTGTAATATCTGAAAAGAAAGATACTAATTAAACACTTCCCTTCTACAAATACATGATTCTTGTCTTAAATGACTCACCGATTTCCTATCTTGACCACCAGATTGGGGTTATCTATAATTGCCGGGTTTTCAGCAAACTCATGATAGGTAATGATATGCTCCATGAACCTTTCTGCAATCATAAAGAGAAAGAAAAATGTTGAGATAAAAAGGTCTGGTAGAGTTAGCTAAAACATGTCTCTAGCATAAATGTTCTATAATCTACACTGATGGTCAAGAAAGAGTTTATTTTGAATTCAGAAAAAAATGCTAATACTATATTACAATTCTACAAAATCATTTCGATTTCATTTCAGTAATTGGTTTGTGTCAACTGTGCAGATTCAGTAATTAATAGCACTTATATTTAATGAAAACTTAAAATTTTGTTAAAGATAAGAGAGTATATGATTAGGGGAAGGCAATACTGACAAATAATTTCATTTCATTTAATCTGTACTAAAACATGTCTTTAAATGTATTAAATGTATTAAACATCCAGTTCAAAAATATCACTTTATAGCCTTATTTGGAAGTTAACGCCATAAATAATGTTTTTCTCCATCAGCTCTATTTGCCACATAAAAAAAAAAAAATCTAAACACGCATATTAAGTATTAAAAATATTGATATTTGGAGAATCTGTGGGCCCAACATACAATAAAATTCACATACACATACAAGTCATTCTAGGTGTACATCAATATAGTAGCAAATTGTTCTCATTTTACTGAAGTAGGATCTTAAGGTAGCTTTCTAATAAGGTATGGGAGAGTAGTGAGGTATAAAAATAGTTGAAGCACTGTATTGCTAATGTTGTAACTTGCAGATAAATACCTTTGGATATCTCTGCGTTCTCGGTGAGGCCTCCGCACAGTGACAGAGTGACGTCGGGCAGGTCTGAGGCCGAGTCTGACAGACACTCTGTCCCACTGTCAGCCGCTGCGCTGCCCACAGACTGAGGGGACTGAGAGCCAGAGCGCATCTCCGATTCCATCCAGTGTTTAGTGGCAGCTTCAGACTCACTGCAACAGAAAGAAATAAACAGTGATAAGTGAGATCATATTGACAGAACCCTTCCCTCAGAAAAATTACACATTGCAGCTTTAAGAGGTGGGACAGTTTTACAAAAAGTGTCTTGCAATTTGCCACATTCTTTATTTTGAATTTATTACTATCCGTATACTTTTATTCCCTGTTATTATATTTATTGTGATGTGTGAGTTACTGTGTCCAGATAATTTCCTTTGTGGATCAATACATTTGTCTAAGTCTAATTCAAAGATATTTTTCCAGAATTGTATAATTTTTTGTTGTTGTTTTTCACAGTTTAGGCAGTTCTTGTTAAGCCACAAGACAGAAGAATTGCCAACCAAAATTAAATTCACCAAATATCAACATAATCTTGCATAAACAAAAATTAGGCTTACTCCAATTCTACAGAATAGAACTCCAGGGACAAAAAAAAATGAATTCAAATTCATTACATAACTGTGCAACTAAATGCCAACGTGAAATTACCTCTTGGGAAAATATCTTGCAGCAACATCAGGCTCGAGTACATTCAAGTCATCCAGGTAAATATCCTCAGGGCCCTGGTGTTGGCTCCTCTTTGGGACACCTGCATGTATGTTTAAGACATGTCAGCTTTACTCATGTATGAAGACAGGAGTGACAAGAACAGGGCATGTAGTACAGCGTTATTAATTTCTATCAAGATACTAATCTGTACCGAACCTAGCATCGAAAATAGATACTTACTTTAAGTATTGATACAGAATAAAAGCTTTCCCGAATAGTTTCAGAAAGATCTTGAACTATATCAAAACTAGTATCATAGGTTAATATCAAAGAAAGTACTTTTAAGGGATGCACAATATATTGCAATCAAATCAGAATGTGAATTAAATTGTAAATGCTGCACTGCAATACAAAGTCCTCTGCAAGGTACAAAATATAACATGTGTTTACAGAACAAGCTTGTTATACCTGAAATTTCGAACTCTACAAACATGTTCTGAGAAGGAAGGGATTCTTGGATTAGTTTATCCGTTTATTTTTAAGCCTACTCTCAAATGTTAATACCCTGGAGTTGTTTACAGTGTGCACTCTGAACAGAATCCTACTTTTTATACATACATTACAAATATAATCAGAATGGAAATTGGGCTCCATTAGACTAACATTTGTTATTGTCCATATAAAAAAAAAAAATTCCTTAGTATCAAAATTTTGTTCTAAAATGTTAGAATGTGACAACTCTAATACATAGATAAGAATGAGATAAACACCTTTTTTCTTGGAGGGTGAATCTGTCAGTGGGTTGTGTGAAGGCGTGGAGGTGGGGACACTAGAGGGCAGCACATCCAGAGGCTCAGTGGGACTCAATAAAGCCAAGGCAGGATCTGGACCAGAACTAGGATCTGAAGGGCCTAAAGGTGCAATAGGTGCGACAGGTGCGACAGTGGGGACAGGAGCGACTGGTGTGCGTGGTTCTGGTTTAACTATAGTGCACTGTGAAGTAGCAGCAGCATTATTCCTCTCGAGATCAGTGTCATCCTCCATGGCTTCTGAACTCAGGATCACCCGAAAGTGCGTGCTCTCTGATGGAGTGATGGTGACCGTTTTGACTTCTGGCTTCTCCTTTTTGGTCACCTGCATAGAATAAGTATCAAAATAGATTTAGCTCACTATAATGTTAAGAGAAAGTATGTATTTGGCAAAAACCTGCCCTTATAAGTATGGCATATTTTAATCATTTGAAGTTCATAATAAATTGTCCAGACTTTTTATTAACAGTCAATAATTATTAAAAGTGTCTCTTTCACACAAAGTATTACCTAAGTAAAGTTTGGCTTTTCGAGCACTACCAAATGTAAAAAGTGTCTATAAAGAGAATGCACCATAGCTATAGTAGTTAAATTTTTTTAAATCTACGGAAACAGGCTGATAAAATAGATTCTAAAAAGGGCTAACATTGCATCCACAAACTACCTTACATAGTGCTGGAATGAATATTACAGTTTGAGAACAACTGATTTCTAATAAACGATTGCAGTCAAATTTACTGTTACATTGCTAACAGAAAAATACAATTTAAATGTGCTTCTTTGAGTCACAACTTTGAGAAATACTACTTATTTTCACAGTACAGTTTTTTTTTGAGAGCCCAGGTGTTTTGCTCTAACGTTAAAATATGTAAACATACCCTAGTCGTTTCAGGAAACTCTCCCCAGGTCCACTGGATGTGAGACTCCGCCCTCAGGAAGCTCTCTGAGGGTCGAACCATCAGCTCAGAGTCACTTTTGGGAGAAAAGGCTTCGGACAGATCATGACTGCAAAAGGTAACAGAGTAAAGACAGAAACTAAGTAAAAATCAGATAACTAGAATAAGGTGGAGTGTGTTTACTTGAACAAACTAAATCTGATCATCATTAACATTTTCTATCATTTTTGTCTGTGCCATATTTGTTTTCCTTTTTTGCATAAGTTTCAAAACATGCACAGATGTGAATAATCAGAAACAAGTCAGAATCGTCACAACAGATGTATCAATTTAGATAAAATTTCAATTAAAAATTGTGTGGTGTGCATGTAAGCATAGCCAGTGAAAGCAATAGTGGTCATACAGTATGTAGTAGAGTGGCTGTGTACCTGTCGTCTAGGGGCCAGTCTCCGTCTGAAACTGGATAGTCCAGGCTGTGTCTTGGGGCAGGCTGTTTGGACTCAGTGTCTTTCATTGTGGTGACAGAAGGTGACCTACAAGGGGAAAATACACAATTAATGACTGTAATATCACAATATCTCATCTATTTTTATGGTGAAGTTACATTAATACTTAATAAAACTATAAAACAAGAGTTGTTTGTTACACAATGGTGTGTATACATTAGACTTTATGACACCTTACTATTACTATATTGCATATATAGAGATGGTTCTTCATTACAGGTCAAATGATGCAATAGCTTGCATTGCAATAATAATATTTTGGAATACAGTGTGCAACCCTGCATTACCAAATTTTTATTAGTTTTGAAACCATGTGTTGTATACGTCCATTACTGAAAGTTGATGTGCTGTTTTCTCCTCTCACTCTGTCTGTCATCACATTAGCACTAAAATTGCCATTAGCTGTACCATTAGAGGAACATTGTACTGTCAAGGTCGGATTGATGAAGTAATTAGGCTGCATCGATTATGTGCCATGTAGATACAGCACATGCAAACCACATCAATGTACCTAAATCTTTTACTTCAACAGTTCTGTCCACAAATTACATACATTTTAATCTAATTAATTGCTCAAAGAGAATTATAACAAGCATTGTCTTTGTTAATTATTATTATACAGGTTTTTAGCCACTTTGGCATAAACATCTTTACACAAACAAAATGCTTTGATTCATTATGGTTAGTTTAATAATTCAGCAGCTGTGTCGTGTGTTTTAACAATATAAATAAGGATAATTCGAACAGAGATTAAAGGTGCACTATAGCTTTTTCTGTAGAGGATTGCCACAAGATTGTCTCCATGGAGAGGTTATTTTGCTTGGAAAACAACACAGTGGGGCATTCAACTTAAAAAAAATATATATATATGCATGTTTCAGGTCATTTTTAACAATCAAACACCTTTTCAGATCAACATCTCTTTAATATCATAATATGGGGCATTAGGCAAAACTTTTGAATTGGAGAAGCACAGATGGCCGACACCCCACCAGAAAAGTTTAATGGAGCACTTTTAAGAAAGATTTATTACTTTTTTTTTTTTTTTTTTTAAATGGGCAATTCTTATTCATAAATAAATTACAAACTATATCCCTCACCTCGAGACATGGTTGGCAGTATCCTCATCAGAGCTCAGGTCCATCTCAAAGATCTCCTCATTTTGCCCGTTGCCGGACGTAGCAGCAGGTGTGTTGTTAGCAGCGTTAGCATTAGCAGCAGACATGGGTGGAGTCAGCTCCTCTCTGCGTGGGTCTCCCTTGTGCTTCTTCCTCCTCCGTCGCTTCTTCTTGGTGCTCACAGTGCTGGACGTGGGGGGGTCAGGGGGGTCATCTGCATCGCCCTGCTCGTCCTCCAGGTCTTTAGGGGCCCTGTGTTCCACCTCAGAGATCCAGAAGAGGTGACTCTCGGTAGGGATCGGGGAGGTGGCCAGGTGAGCCGGGATAGCCTGCTGGAGATACAGGAGACAGGATGTTAGACAGTAAATCATAGTAGCTATATCGAGCAAATGTAGTTTTAGATTCAACCTCAACCACAAATATTCAGCATCATTTCTATAATCTGATGATCACTTCATTTTGTTTTGTAGGTTTAGAGATTTTATGACCACAAGACCCAAACCTCTATATATAATAGATAAAGTAACACAATCAGTAAATAGTAGTGATGTAACTATATCCAAATCTGTCGGTACGATATTATCACAATATGCATCTCATGATATTTATTGCGATATTTTGGAGAGGCTAATATAATTGTAGATGGGACACTTTTTTGCGTTTAAAATACCCTGACAAGATTTTTGTGTGAATTATTACTGTCATAAACGCAAGAATTCAAATAAAAAAAAAACAAACAAAAAAAACATATTTCTTCATGTTGTCTGCGCTGACATGAATCATGGGATATGTAGTTCCAGATGTTTATTAACTATTGCTACTATAAAACAATGTATTTAAGCAAAGGATTTTGTAATTCCATATATTGTGACAGCCCACGATATTACTGTGACTTTTGACAATATGATATCACGATATTTCGGTTTCGATTTTTATATTGTACAACTGTAGAATAGACCCACAACCAACACATCTAAAATCCATTTCTTTCTTCATAGTCATAAAAATGTTATAAGGAAAACGCCTCTTCAAAAAATCGCGTGCGGTCGGGGACAAAAAACCGGGGTGGTGGTCCCTCTGTAAAAACCGGAGGGTGTGTTCCAATATAGGGGATCACACTCCTCAGCCTTCCGGTAAGGTCTTGCAGGGTACTGGAGAGGAGAATCCGGCGATAGTCGAACCTCGGATCAGGAGGAGCAGTGTGGTTTTCGTCCTGGCCGTGGAACACTGGACCAGCTCTACACTCTCCATAGGGTGCTCGAGGGTTCATGGGAGTTGCCCAACCAGTCCACATGTGTTTTGTGGATCTGGAGAAGGCATTCGACCGTGTCCCTCGTGGCGTCCTGTGGGGGGTGCTCTGGGAGTATGGGGTCCGGGGCCCTTTGCTAAGGGCTGTCCGGTCCCTGTATGACCGGAGCAGGAGCTGTGTTCGCATTGCCGGCAGTAAGTCAGACCTGTTCCCGGTGCATGTTGGACTCCGCCAGGGCTGCCCTTTGTCACCGGTTCTGTTCATTGTATTTATGGACAGAATTTCTAGGCGCAGTCAGGGGCCGGAGGGGGTCCGGTTTGGGGACCACAGGATTTCATCTCTGCTGTTTTGCGGACGATGTTGTCCTGTTGGCTCATCATCGAACCAGGACCTGCAATGTGCACTGGGGCGGTTTGCAGCCGAGTGTGAAGCGGCTGGGATGAAGATCAGCTCTTCCAAGTCCGAGGCCATGGTTCTCGACCGGAAAAAGGTGGCTTGCCCTCTCCGGGTGGGTGGGGAGTCTTTGCCTCAAGTGGAGGAGTTCAAGTATCTCGGGGTCTTGTTCACGAGTGAGGGAAGGACGGAACGTGAGATTGACAGGCGGATCGGTGCAGCTTCGGCAGTGATGCGGTCGCTGTATCGGACCGTTGTGGTGAAGAGGGAGCTGAGTCGAAAGGCGAAGCTCTCGATTTACCGGTCAGTCTTCGTTCCTACTCTCACCTATGGTCATGAGCTCTGGGTAGTGACCGAAAGGACGAGATCGCGGATACAAGCGCTCGAAATGAGTTTCCTCCGCAGGGTGGCTGGGCGCTCCCTTAGAGATAGGGTGAGGAGCTCAGTCACACGGGAGGAGCTCGGAGTAGAGCCGCTGCTCCTCCACGTCGAGAGGAGCCAGTTGAGGTGGCTCGGGCATCTGTTCCGGATGCCTCCTGGGCGCCTCCCTCGGGAGGTGTTCCGGGCATGTCCCGCCGGGAGGAGGCCCCGGGGAAGACCCAGGACACGCTGGAGGGACTATGTCTCTCGGCTGGCCTGGGAACGCCTCGGGGTCCCCCCGGAGGAGCTGGAGGACGTGTCTGGGGTGAAGGAAGTCTGGGAGTCCCTGCTTAGGCTGCTCCCCCCGCGACCCGGCCCCGGATAAGCGGACGAAAATGGATGGATGGATGGATGGATGTTATAAGGAACTTGCCCACGTTTGTTATTGTTTATAACATTAATGGTTTTATTATGGGTGTGACTATAAAAAACAGATATGGAAAGATCAGTTTTGCATGCAACATATTGGCACTGGTTTGTTTTGAAACGCAAAATGCAAAAATTGTAATCGCTGATGAACTATATTGGCCCCAATTTGAGCATGACTGTTCTTGTACAGATCTATCAGGGAAGGTAAACACTACAAGGAAACAACACTACAATTGTTGTCGCAGTTGTTGTTGTGAATGAGGTCATGTGACACAAACACATGACTCATACATCAGCTGTCAGATTGAGTAACAGCACAGTAAAATCATTACTGAGTGCTCCATCAGACAAATACATTTGAAACCATTAGGGAATACTTAATGCATGTGTCAGTCAATAACGTTACTTTACCATGTTACATAGTAGAAAAAAGTTCTACATTCTTCCTCTCCCTGAGCTGCATGTTCTGGCACATATGCAGGATAAAACATTTTGAGCCTAGCCCCAAGCCTTTTCATTTCTAGTATTAGTTGTTGGCAGTAATTCAAATCAAACGTAAGTATTTTAGAGCTTGTTAACGTAGGGTGTGTTCAGATTTCTTAGGTTTGGTCATGGTTTGAACTCATGTCTAGACCTGATCTAGCCTTGGGTTTGATCCTTTTGTAGTTCTGATTTAGTCCTGGTCTATTCCCTAGTCTGCCCATCTAATTCAAATATGCCTATGTTTCGATGCTTACATTTTGCTGTTCGGTCTCTTGTACAAAAAAGGCCTCTCCATTGTCACCCAGTTTCATGTGCAGGTCTACAGGCTCACCGTTGATTTCAATGTCAATCTGAAACAGATAATAGTGAAAAACATTAGACGATTAATATTAGTGCAAGTGTACAATCAAACATTTGTCAACCGTAATTGCCTATTTGATATCTACAAAGCATGATAATGATTGCTACATTCTTGGATTTGATTTGGTTTTGTATTCCTGGAGGGAAGTGAGACCCCTGTGGGTAGTTGAAGCCCTTTTATCCCAGGCTCTGCCCCAAACATGTTAATTGTAAGGGCTGTGTCGGATTACACTGGTGCTGCCAAACACACAGATGTTCCATTCATGTTTCCCAGACAAATAAAACGTGACACCACAAAGGAAACCAGGACAGGCCCGGAAACAACTATGGTTAATGAATAATGCAGTTTTACTAAGCACTGAACATCTGAATTCAATAAGAACTTTTTATGTAGGGTTAAAAAAGTCACGTAGCCATTTTTCAACAGAAAAAACATGTAAAAAACATGTAAATGAAAATCAGTAAGTCAGTGGACCAGCTTCTATTAAGCAGTTTTAAATCTATAAAATGAACAAATTGTTAAATAATGATCTACATGTAATGTTTTATACTAAATATAAAGAATATATTATTTCTTCTTTATTTTTTTCTTCTTTACTTTAAAATGCTCTGATAAGCCGAAATGGAATAATTTTTGTCAGAATTTGAAAGAACAGATAGACAGATAGACAGATAATGAGATGGAGTAGTGATAGAGAGATGGATAGAAAAAAAGAAGGAACCACAGTTGTTGTCAATGTAGTTCTATCTGTGTTTTTTTAATGCAGGAAAACATTGTATTTTGGGTATTAAAGCTTATATTTTAAATGTTAAGTTAACAAAATGGACTTTAATGCATCACAGTATTACCACTTAGTTACCTGCCTAGTGCCTATTATAAATAAACTGAACAATACACAACAACCAACTGAGGATATCTATTTTCTACTCTTCCTCCTCCTCCTCCTCCCACGCACACAAGGATACAGAGGTTGTGGAACGGTTACCATGGAAACCACTCATTCATGCCTTCGTTCGACCACATTGACATTCAGAGGGTGTAGTGAGAAAGTGCTACAGCCTCTGACAAATCATCCGCCATTCACTCCCAGAAAACTTGTTACAACAAGCAAAATTATAGTTTTCCGTATGGAAGATAAAGTATTTCATCAGATTTTGAATTTGCTTTGGCATCTTGGTTCTTTGCTTCACTGTCAATTTTACAATCGGAATTTTCACTGTTGAATTTGACGACTTGAAAATATATGTGCTGACTATTTAAAAAGGTGAATTTTTATTTATTTTTTTTTCATTTTGAATTTTAAACACTTTGAAAATGTACACTTAAAATTTCAGCCACTAAAATTCTGAATAAAAATAATCCAAACATGCTTTTTCAGAGTTAAAACAATTCAACGCAAGCAATTCAGCAATATTTGAAATTCAAAATTTAATGGAACAAATTATCCTCCATATTTTTGTGTACTACTACACTGTGCCAGAATCTAAATGGGGGCCATGAAGGATAAAGTGAACAAATAATCAAATGTATTTTACGTTCTTTGTTTATTTTTATTGTTTGTGTGTTAGCGGACTGGGATATTTTGGATATCTCAGCCCTCTTACTATTTATTAACGCTGTAGTCGACTAAAAAGGGCCGTGGGAACAGCTCTCAAAACTATTACGTACCTCTGTATCTGACCCAAAATGCACTCACAAGACTACATCCGTTCATGCAAAAACAACTTTATTTATTTAGGCAGAACGAAGCACAAAAGCAAGCAATGTGTTTCTATAAAGACAGAATAAATTTGTCAATCATGAGTTTAATCTGCCTATTTACATATAAATACCAAAAAATACCAAATCTTCAACTTACTCACTCAGTAAATTCTCCTTTTTGCTGTTGTCACATATAAATCCTTAAAATCTACACATTTTGGTCACCTGCTAAGACAACATTGACCGATTAATGGATTAAATGACCTACTATTTATGTAAATTTTATGAGGAATTGTTAGCTACAGTTGTTTTAGAATATGTTCTTCACGATTTCATATCTAAGCATTAAAACACTCTTTGGTGTAGCATACTGGATTCACTGCAGTGTTGACATTTAAACATGAAGCAGATAATACAAGCTAATATTAGTCTGTCATAAACAATGTCGTAACAATTTAGCTTGTATTTGTTATGTTAAAAATGCAGTTACTGACAATGTATTTCCTGAGCATTGAGAGCAGGCTGGTTGAGATTTTCTACTTCAAAAAGCAGGCAGCCTCTTCCTCCATATCGCCTAAAAATAGCTCTGTGTTTCTCCCGTGTGATTAATGGGACTTATCTGTGGGCAAGAATGTACAGTAACTACTACAGGGAGGAGAAAATGGCACCTGCCATCTGCGTGACAACCAGAACTGTGGGACTGAGCCTGAATCACATTAATTAAAACTTGTGTCTTGTGATTTGGTTTCATTTTTAGTTAAGAAGAGACAGACACACAACAGTTCCGCTAATTATGAAAAAAGGAAGACAATACAATATCCATGCTGTTCTCTGATTGATGGTTTCACTTTAGCAATGTACAATTTTACAACAGTTGTTTAGACACAGAACTTATGAAAGCTCAGAATGCTGCACTAGCACTGATTAACAACTGGCTGGAGGCGCTGGGGTTTAAGAGTCAGATCAAAGAGAGGCATTTTAAGTCTAAACCAATTGGATTTCAGCACTGAAACCAGTAACCTAAAAGAGAGGCTTGTTCTTTTTTTAGACTGGATAATCGTCTTGAGAACCAAAACAGTTTGGCCATCATATCCAATGTTTTTGTTTTTAAGAATAAATCCACATTTAAATTTTTGGCAGTAATAGCTATATTTGATTTGCACATGTCTACCTTGTAACTGGGGACATACTTAAAGTATATGGAATTTAAAATCATAATCTTACATACAGTTGCTTTAACTTAAGTAGATGAGTAAACACACTGGAGTTCATTTCCATTTTGAAGCCCTCAGCAATTTTATAGGGATATTATAGTTAACTGCAATTGTTTTAGCCATGATAATCATGACAGAAAGTTTCAGTATCATCTCATTCCTAATTGGCTGATGACATTTTAAGAATGAATGTTGTGCACAGGAGCCTTCTTGTGAAATGGTTCAGCTGACAAAATGCCACAACATACTGTATGATAAGTCAGTATAGTCAAACCAGGTTATGTACATATACATGTATATTCTAGGAATGTTCTGCATAGGAATGTTATCAATGTGGGTCAAATTGTGCAAAGTTTAAGAAACATGTTTTCCACAGTGTTTACGCTGCATTCGTATAAAGATTTCTTTCTACCGGAGTTATTCATTTGTTCAGGTTGAGGGGTTGCTCCTGGTCAAGCGAAAGAAGTATAACATGACATTTGAGTTGGACAAATATTAAATCGGTTTGAATGCCTGAAGAGGAACTATATTAAAAAGTGTTTTATAACCAATCATTCACACACACATTCAAACACCAATGTTCACAGATACTAGGGGGAAAGTGATTTAGTGTCTTGCCCAAGGACACAATGTCAATATTCATCTGTGGAAGCTAGAGAGAAATAACCATTATACCAACAATGTTTTTATGGCTCACAAATGCCTTGAAAAACATGTATCCTTTCTGTGAGCAGGGTTGCCTCTCCACAGATATGACCTGGTGTTGTCTCTTGTTTATTCCCAGGGAGATAAATAAATTAAATGCAACAGTGTTCACCAGAAAAGATCCATATGCACAATAAAGTAGGCAGCCAAGTAACCCCACTAAACATGTGTCCATTACTCACCACTTTCTCTTTGGAGCGCAGCACGCCCAGTTTGCCAAAGCGCACGTGGAAGGGGGAACACTGGTAGGTGCCATCCCTCTGGCGGACCACCACAACGTCGATGCAGCCCGACAGAGTGGCCTGGTTTATGTCCTTGTACAACTGCTTCACCGTGACCAGCACGTGCCCAGCCAGCTGCCCCACGTAGTTCATGGTGTCCGACTGAAAGACAGTTAATTAAAATAGATGACATTTAGCTCAATGTAATGTGAAGTAATTCTACATTTGTCCAGTTAGCTCAATGCAAAACAGACAGTGGTGAAGAACAGCGGTGACGTTAATAGATTTCGCTTTCACAAGCAGTTCCCCAAGCACAAGCCTACTTCTGTTACCAATCGGCTAGATCTCTGCATGTGGTTTTCAGACAGTAATTCATGCTTTTCTTTTCACCAATGCCAAGCCCTAGGTACAACAGATTGTGGTGCTTTCCAAGCAACTGGTAACTGGGATATTTCGCACCAATGACTTGAAAAAATTCCCTGGAACGCAAAATAATAATTCCTACAGGCAAACTGGGAGATGATCAGGGAACTCCCACTTCACATTACAACAACTCTAATCACCACAAAAAGAGGATCTGAGTGGTTAATCGCCGCATAAACAATGTAAACAGTTGCTATAAAATACAGTAATATTAATTTATTTAACATTTAACATTTACATTTGTTTAACCTACTGTTTAGCATTAGCCATGTTGTTTATAAGAGTTAATTCAGCTGTCTGGAACAGTCTGTGGTCAGAACTTGTAATGTAACAAATGGGAAATAACCAAGACACACAGCATTACCAGTAGTCCTGATAGGTCAATATATAATGGGTTAGGTTGGGTTCTAGTCTGTGTTCTAGTTCGCCGGATTGCAGTGCGGGTGCAGGTTCTGGTTCCGCTTTAGTCCAGCTATAGTCCTGGATTAGCTGACATTTTGTCTTAAACCCTCCTCTGCAGTTAATATAGATCTGTATTTGTCCTGGAGCCTCGTTTAATAAGTTCCAGACCTTTCTTAGAAAACCCCATATTTTTAAAAATAGCCCTAGTATACTTGTGCCATGTGCTGGACCTTAAATTACCTCTATCCCCTATAGCCTCTGGTCCAGTCTACCCAAGTCTGTCCCTCTGGAGCCCCTTTAAAGAAAACATGCAGCTAAAGACTTTGGCTCAAACTATTAAGAAAAGAGTTCCCATAACCTCCCACCCAGAACCCAGCTGACCACCTCCTGTTTACATTTATTCGATTATTGATGACTGCTTGTCCACATTTTTACCCTTCACCGAATGCAAAGTCCCTCTGTATCTCTTTATGTGTATTTAATTTGTGTAACTTGATTATTGATGCAAGATAAATTAGCAAACAAGTTCAGTTAGGTCAGCACTGGGTTTATGAGAGCCTGTAAACAACTTCAGCTGTTTCGAACGCAGCCTTATGTAACCTGCCGATATCACACTGACCTTTTGTTCACACCGCCATGCTAGGCCACAACACACAATCACAATATAATGGGTAGGTTTGGAGAGTGTAAAATGTAGATTCAAAATCACAAGGATTATAAACAGTTTTCAAATTTCATTAAACTAAAGGATCTTATGTGATTAGATAGTTAGTCTGTGGTAAAAAAAAAGAAAGTGAATTTTAATGTTTTGACTGAAATGACCTGGTTTAGAAGTGTCTCAGTCATTCTATAGTGGAGGGGGTATTATGCAACATTAATGTTTGTTGCTTTTTACCATGTTGTAGCATTGTTCTCTCATAAAAACTGCCTTAAGTGGTTTTATATGTCTTCTATGCATGTCTGAGTAATTTTGCAATCTCTCCTGGGAAGGTAGAAACTGTTCTAACCCTTACAATAAGCAGTGTGAGTGTACAAGGCTCAGCCCAAAAGCCTACGTCAATGCACTACAAGTTCACAAACCTGATGCAATGTGCAGTCGTTTCATTAGGTAGATGTACGCCGATATGCTGTGATAGCACTCTGAAGGGGGAGTGACTTCCGGAGAACAATGGGAGGGGAGACAACTTACTAACCATGATAACACATTTCCACAATATAGCACTTTTCAATACAATAAAAAGGCAACATGGTGATCTTGTAATACCATCTCTGTAAATTATGCATTTTTTAGTTGATCCTCCTTTTATCCTAATGGCTTACGATGTAAAGAAGAAATTCTATATTTTTACCATCCAAATGAATTAATATCATTGCAAGTAGACCAAATCCAAGTAATCCGAACAGTTAAACTAAGGCATTTCCATAATTTAAAAAATGCATGCAGTTTAGTTCCCTTTTAATAAAGTAAAAGTGGAAACTGTAACTAAGCAAATCAACTTTTACCAATGTGAGCCCAGAAAGAATTAGAATATGAGTCAACAAATTGAAACTGAAAATACAAGCTTGAAGAGAAGTTGAAAAAGTATACTGAGTTAAAATGTACTGAAATAGAAATAGGCCTTGACCTGACGTGATCATTTGGTTCAAAGTTCTGGTTCATGAGGGGCGGGTGTTGATTGATAGAAAATTATGAAAATTATGAAATCTTCCACTTTTAAAACCATAGCAAATTTAACAGGGTCTATGGAAACTCTTATTTTAGAGAGCTATCACCACCCAGCATGTTTTGTATTGTCTTAAGGGCAGTGGAAAACATGAGCAGTAAAGATTGCGGAAAAGTGATGTTGATCCCTCCTTTATGAAAATTAAAGTACTTTAAAACGCTGAAACTTAAAAATATATTGCGAGTTTATGTGACTTTGTCCATTCTGCTAAACCTGGAGAGTACTGATAATTTCCTGTGGCAAATAGGTCTCTCAAATTAACTTAAAATCTAACTTCCAGTGTTTTCCATTATTAGAAGAGAATTGTAACCGAATGGCCCTTTCCAAATAATGAATAATAAGCTTGACTGTGCCAGTGTAGTCTTAAAAGAAATGTGTTAAACTGGCTGAACCACTCAGCAATTTTTGATGTTATTACATGACAGACCTTTGCACTAACTGACATTGAACAGATGGCTCGGAGTGAGTCCAAAGTCTAACGGCTAAGAAAGCTGTGTACAAAAGTATACTAATGCTATTAAATACATGCACAAACCACACACACTTAACTAAACAATAAAAATAATGGGTGTGGAAAATACTTTTGTTATTGTTAGGAATAATAAACAGATTAATAATTATGTAAGAGCAGCTACTAAGGAAGGTATTAAAACTGTAAACTTTTATGATAAGACTGGTTCATGATATATTTATATAGTAATATTTTTATGACATCTCTGTAACAACTAAATACACAAATAAATTAAATTAATTTGCATTACTCTGTGGATAAACTACATTTACATAAAATTTTTCTATCATATGGAATTCTTTTCAGGCTAACATCAAAAGTGTTAAACACATTGTTACTGAAGCATAAGTTATATCTGATTTGTTCCAACACATCTCACCAGGGACCAGGATGCCCTCCGCAGTGACCGTACATCCTCGCCTTCCTCTGGCTGGTATCTCCTCAGGCCTATATCCCCTGCTGACCTCTGTCTCTTCATTATAAAGACTTAAATAATATTATTATTTAACATTTACATGCAACATACTCCAGTGACGCTCCTACTCTGTTGGGCATGTGCCAACACTGACTCCATACCATACTAATTCTCAGATAGTACCCTCGTTATCTACGGTAATAATGGCCGCTTTCGATTGTGCAAGATGTCCATAAACTTCTCATTTACAAACATAATGCACCTCTGTGTTCTTCCACACTTTAAGAGGCTCGACCAATGGGAACGCCCCTTTTAGTAGCAGTGTATTACTGATAAGGGGGAGGAACTCATTTGGCTGAAGCTCTTAGAGTTGATAAGCGCTTATGGTGAAAAAAGCACTAGCAGTGACGTCGGGTATAGTCACATGGGCATTATTCATTTTTGTTTGACTAAGAGAGAAAGGCTACTGCCACTGGTTGCTACAATAACAATGGCAAACTACTGGGCACTTCAGCTGATAGGGAAGTTTTATTTAATTACACATCCTGTTCATTTTTACTAGAGATGTCGTAATACCATATTTGTGTGTTACAGTTATAGTGAGAGGAAACATCACATTTTAAAGAGCCCATATCACATTATTTTCTAATCTACATTACAATGTTGTTTCCTCATCATCACAAACATAACCTGGAGTTGTATTTTGTTTCATTCACACATGTTAAACACATAAACCCTGCATATTTAGGGTGAGTTCTTCTCTCAAATGGAAAACACGCTTCTTGTGATGTCATGTGGTAACACAGAAAGTGCTCCACTGTGTTTTTAAACTCCATACACCTTCATGATTTCAGCCCTAGAATTGCTAATCTCTATTGAACTAAAGGTAAAAAGTAGCTCTCAACTTGAAAACTACAGCTTTATGATATCACAAAGTGGAACAGGGATTTGATTATTCAAATATGTGTGAATGAAATAAAAACACAACTCCAGGTATATTTATGAGGAGTTAACAGCATTATAACATCACAAGAATAAACTGAACTGCAATATAGGATTTTAAAGGATTACTCACAATTATTGACACCAAAGAATCAATCAAATCAAACGCTCTAATTAATGTGATATAGATAGCTTGATAAAAAAATATAATCTTAATATCTTTGTTTACTTTTTTAGGAGTATACACTGTCACTTCATTGTACTTGCAAATAGTCCACCACTGACTTTGCATAGTAACAGAGACTGGAAAAGTAATGTTCAAATCGGTCATATTTGAGTCACTATTCTAAGGTTCACAGGTGATCTGATTCTGGTGAAAATGGCAAATATGTCACATATTTGCTGAAGTCAGAACAAACACTGAACTGGGTTAAGGCTATTGACCCAAAATAGTGTGTTGTAACAATTCTCTCAGGCATGTCTGTCCTAAGAAGAGGCCTACTGTGAAAGAGGTTATAGTGCAAGGTCAAAGATGAATTTTGGCCAATAAACAGTAATTAATAATACCATGCCTTCTGACTTTTTTATGTACAGAATATGTAAACATAGGTGAGCAAGGATTAATGAAATTTCAAGATAAAGATTTAATCATTTCTAATAGTCAATGATCAACTTTTTTAATGGAGAAGTCTACAGCTAATCCTATGTCAATAAAAGCCTGCGGTTTGGAGCAGAGTTCAGACTTTCAGACGGAAGATAATTTGACAGTGTATTTGTTTTAAATTATTAAAAGTCTGTCTTGTCAATATTCAGAAAAAAAAACATTGAAGATGATTTTATTTGCTTTTGATAATACAAAATCAAACTGAATAGTAATTAATAGTTCTGTCTCTATGTAAACATTTAGACAATGACATATAATAGTGTAAATATACTGCAAAATGATATTATCAAGCTCAGTAGTAATCCATACAAGCATTCTGACTAATACACTGAAGTGATTCACTTTGGTGGGGCAGAATTTCATAGGCTTTCAAACCTTTTTTTTTCTTTTACTTTCAAATTGTGTCACCCCATACTTATTCAATACACTGTAAGCCCTAGGCCAGAATACTCATGTCACTGCTTTGAAAAATGATTTAAACTTTCTGTAACCTCCTTTCTTGGTGATATTCTGAGAACTATTGACTTTGCACTCCAAGATTCCTCACAGACAGACAACTATTTCAATCTGTTGCTTGATTTTAGCCTACACGCTAACAGCCACACACTCCAGTCTGTGCCCCTATGGAGAAAATACCACTATAATGGTCCTTTCAAAACACATTCATGTAATAACAAAGTACATCAGAGGCCATTTCTCCCCCTTTAAGTCTGTGAACTTAAACCAGGAGGATTTTCCATTGATCCAAGACAGACCAGCTTTGACAACGCCACAATCTCTGAGCTGGTTGACCAAGCGCAGACCAAACAAGGGTCACATTCCACTCTTGTCAACTCTCACGTTACAAGAAACAACAGAAGCATCAAGAATCTGTGTAAAATAAACCTCTACTACCATACTTGAACCAACTTTCAATTTTCATTCATGTTTTCACTCAATTTTTGCCACCCCATGTGCCTTGTTTTAACAGCAACATGACAAAAAAATACCAGCATGCTTCTCTATGTTGACATTGTATATTGTAAAAGGATCCTTGTACTAACCTGTAAGTCAGAGCTGTCAACAATATAGGGCAGGCCATTGCTCCTGTCTTACACAACATGCTGATAAAAGGCTATCATTGTTTTGAGATGAAGGTGAATTTAAATATATTGACTTCATCTTATCATTCTAACATTTATATATTTAAGAGATACTACTACTTTGTATCACTATATAATATGGTGTAATGTAATAATCGTATTTTTGTAAAGAGCTTTTTTTTTTTTTTTGTAATATTTGACCATTTCTAAAATACTAACATTGACTTAGACTGACAATCAGAAGAAGCTGATAAAGACTGGGTTTACTTATATTTCAATGCCAAGTGTGTAAGAAACTAAAGGGACGTAGTTTCTGTTTTGAGAGGGGAAAAAAAGCATGAAATTTGACACCTTACCCACACAATAACATTAACAGCTACTAAACTAAAGTAAACGTAACCAATATACACGTCTAGATTGCCATAAATAAATGCCAGTTTAAAGAAAAAAAGAACAAAAATAATGAAATAATTTAGTTTTAGAGATAATAAAATACGTGAGCCCTGTTTACGACGTGGTAAGCTGATCCAGAGGAGCTTATGATAAAAATGAATGGTTGTCAAGAAGAGCTAGCTGGTTGTATCTAGTTACTGAACAAACACAAACAAAATCATATGATCTGTGTTGCGTAAGATGTGTTTTTCTATCCAAAATGTCGTACAATTCAAGGATAGATTCATGCCTTTACTCATCCAGTCGTTAATACATCATTGCTAACGAGAACTAGCCACCTTACATGCTAGCTAACATTAGCCGGGGGAATACACAGAAACAAGCCGAGTTACAACGTCAGATCACCGGCTTTTACCTTTATCCTTCTCCCGCTGGTTTCTGTCAATGGAGGATGATGTTATTATCAGTCTTCAGGGGGTCCCCATCGCTGTGTCTGTGAAACTCCTCAAAACCTCTTGACGTGTCGGCGACAGGACCACCGAGGCTGCTCAGGATGGGTGCTGGGTGCTCGGGTGGACTGGGCTGGCTGACTGCTGGAGGCGGCGGTGGTGGCGGTGTGGGAAGGCTGAGATGGCTGAGCTGGAGATGGTCCGTGGCGGGATACAGAGCCCCACAGTGGCCGAGGAGGAGGGTGGACGGACATGAACCGGAATAACCCTCCACACAAACAGTCCAGCCTATGTTCCTGGGTTGGCGTGTTTATGTTCAATCATTAATTAAGAAAGGAATGATGCAGCCAAGATGAGTGGGTGTACTGCTGTGTCATCATGAGACTTATGATTGGTGGAACAGTTCGAGCTATTTTAATAAGACTACACAAGTTTGGAGGGTAATTTATTACAAAAAAGGTTAACACTGTAGGTTATTTCTGCAAATCAAACTATTGAATTTATTAGTGATTTTCTCCATAAAGGGGTGAAAATTAAAACAGAAAGTTCTTGAACATTATTCCCATAGACAAAAGCTCTAGGCCTAAGGGATGCAGTGGTTGTAATGCCTGATTGGACTTGCAAGACCACATACTTTTAACCTCATCACATCTTCTTTTATGACTTAAACAACTTTAACAACAGTTACTATCAGCCTCTGAGTGACAGCAGAAATGAACACGTTTCAGCTCTGGTGTAGTCACACAACTTTACATGCAGTCATGCATTTCCTGCCCCACCTTTTCTGTCAACTCTTAACAACTTGCAGACAAGACAAAATGACAAATGAAAAACATGTTTCTCACTTACACTACTCCACAGAACCTGTGAATGGCAGTTTGACATCACTATTTCAGACAAAGCAACCCGATGAGCCCAATGTTCCTTTATTTTAGACAACATAAACAAGAAATGTATCTATGCAACGTGCTGTTTTGGTATAAGGAAAGTAGTTTGCACAGTATTGCATGGGGTTTATTGGCCTTTGGTTAGAAACAAAAATTTATCACAGAAAAAACATTTCCTTTAACTTACATTACATAGTTACTGTGAGTACTACAGACCACAGAGCACTTTATCACATGAGTTTAATCTTGACAAGCTCTGCCCAAAGCCCTTTAGCCCAGCACATGAAAGAATGAGGAAAGCAGTGCGTACTGTGTTTGTTTGTTTATTCAGACTGGTCTGAGCACTGGCGTGTGCCAGGTAAATGCTTTAGAGAAAGCTCAGTCTCTCATTCTCTGGTTACCATAGATACATGACACTATGATCTTTAGTCTTTCTTGCTCTCCTCTTCTTCCGGGTTGTACACACTGACCGTGAACTCGCCCGCCTCTGTGCCGTACTTGTTCTTAACCACAAGGGCGTATTTGCCGGAGTCAGTCGTCGTCACAGCAGCGATGGTGATGGAGGCGAACTTTCCATGCTCAAACTTGAGTTTGTAGCGATCATCAGACACCAGCTCTTTGTCGTTCTTTGTCCAGCTCACCTCCGGTGCCGGCTCGCCCCACACATTGCCAGTCAGATTCAGGGACTGTGAGAATAAAAGGTGTTATTAACTGTATTTACTACACACAACTTTGCTTAGTAAATGTGTAATAACTATAATCAGTTACCTTGCCCTCCTGAATAGCAACAACATCTGGCAACCCTCCAACAACACGAGCACGATCTAAACAGAGAGGACAAAGGCAGGCAAAGTCAGTGTTTGTTTTATGGTCACAAAAGCAATATGTCATTTCCAATGAGACCATCTCTAGACACACTATAATGAACTCTCACTTACTTCTCTCTGCAATCGCTGCAGCCCTGTGGAAGGAAACAGACACATTGTGTAAGAATCACCAGAAAATCTGATCTCAGTTAACAACGACAATATCAGGAAATGAATTGGGGTGGGCAGAAGTTCCACAGTTCTCAGCATTGGACTATTTTAAAACTATGATGAATATTACTTTCTTGTGCAAACATCCTCTTTGTGCAAAAACCAATTCTATGTACAATAAATAAATCTATACTTACTTCAGCCTCTGGAACTCCTCAAACGCCTCTTCCCAGGCTGAAATAATTGAAAAGAAGTTCTAATAAGTACAAAATAAAAGTACATTTGTAAACAAAAATGTAAACTTTAAATATAGGTTTTTGTCTGTTGAGCAAGAGGCATTGGATAACACAAATAAACACATTCATGGTTCAAGTTTAGGTCAGGTTTGCTCATCACAACTTGGTTGCAATAACCAAACTGCTGTTACAGCTATTTAAGTAATACCATGTCCTTTGCAACCAACAAAATTGCTTCCCAATTACGAACAACTAACTCTGTAGCTTATCTTACATGTTAATGCTCCTGGACATGTTTAAAGGTGCACAATGTAATTTTTCTTGTGGCCTCCATCTGCTTGTCTTTATTGGTTTACCTGAAAATATCCCACAGTTTTTATTGTCAGTAATATTTGGTTTGGTGGCGTCACCTCTTTTTTTTTTTTCCACATAGTGCCTCTTTGAAACATGCACTATGAATGGATTTTGATTTTAAACAACTATCACAAATATCATCACAACTGCATTACTTATCAGAAAAAATATTATATTATATATATTTTTGCTTTTCAAAATTCTTGCAGCCTTTGTTCTGCTTGAATTTCATGACCACCAGTGATTGAACCGACCTTTGCCGCTCAGATCGAATACTCTCTTGACTCCGTCTTTGCCGTCGAAGATGTCCATGGTGTATTTGCCCTTGTCTTTCTCTGTGGGCTCATTGATCTGGAGCCAGAGCTGCTCTCCAGTCACTCCGGACTTCACTCTCTCTGAAGCCGCAATCTTAGCATCTCTACAGGGACAAACAGGGTCAGAAAAAGTGCGCCACAAAGTAATTATGTCAAAGAGAACAAGTTAGCTCTGTTCAAAACTGCATATGCAATAATATAAGGTAAAGCAAAGTTTCTTTCCTTCAGATTGATCACAAAAAAACAAATAAAAATGTATTTTAACATTAATTTGATGAATGAGTCAGTTTAGTTTTGCCAAAAATCCAATTTAATCTTTTTCTGTCTGAAAACAAAAAACTTTTTTTTTTCTGACTAACTGTAGAGTTCTTGATTAATAAGACCCAAGCTGATCATTGACAATTTGAAACAACTCAAACTCGATTTGATTAAAACGTTATTACAGTGCATTAACAGCAGATTCTTATATATTAGTGAGATAAAGTTACCACGGTCTAAGTTAACAGGTTAGTCATAATATTGTAACCATGGTTCCAAACGTTAAGATTAATTGGTGGGATATAACTGCAAAATAACAGTTTATCCTCAAAGTCATCATACCTGAGCCTATATGTGAAAATACGTACTTGTGCAGCCATCCGACACGCAGGTCCTCATTATAATATGTGACATTTGAATGAAGGATCAGGCCATGCTCAGTGCTAGTAATTTGGATTTCAGTAGAGGAGTTGGCTGTAAGAAGAAAAACACCATTAGAACTGGGTAGACAAATTTGTTAATTTAAAATGAAAAGAAAGCAATATCTTAGTAACATATATTGTCAACAAAAGATTAAATAAATACATACCAATAACTCTGAACAGCTCATTCATAACTGCTTGGTAACCTACAAAAAGTCATAAAAATAAGTGTAAGTAAGATATAGGTAAGATGAATGCAGGAATGAAATTGTACAAAGGGCAGGAAAGATGTATAGGTAGAGCTTCTAGAAAGGAAAACTAATTTTGTAAGAGATGGCTTTAAATAATGAAGTGTGTGGGAAGAAGATGTAGAAGATACACTGTTGAAGAATAAAAAAAAACTGACATGAGAAAACCAGCTTACCCAAGGCCAGAGTGTTTACCTGCGTCTGTCAGGTTAAAGACGCTCTTGTCTTTGCCTCTTTCATCTCTCAGGAACACATCGTAAATTCCAGCGTCCTTCTTGCTGATCTAAAATTTACCATAACACCAAATTTAGTGTTAAAGGCACATTAGTGGGTCCCCTTTTGCAGCTAGAGGAAAAAATGTAAACTGAAAATTGTATATACAGGAACATATAAACAGACATAATAGGACAGGAGCCATATAGAAACCCGCTATGCAGAAAAGGCAAAGCTTTCCCCTTGCCTGGGATGATGCAGGCGTTTGAATGGACACAGACATGAGAGACAAACAAGAGACAGGGACAAATGATGAACTTATGGAAGCATGTTTGGGTCCAGACTTTGGGTCTTGGTCCATTGGAGACTTCCTCTGCAGCAGGCTTTGGGCGAGGCTTTTCTTTCTCTTTCTCTTTCTCTTTGAGTTTTTCTTGCTTATTAACCCACTGTGAATTAGACAGATAAGCAGTTATTGCGATGAGCGTGCTTTTGTGCCAACACCCCCTGTTTATGTGTACAAGTGGATACATTTGAATATTGTAAGGTTAAATTATTTAATGTATGTTGTTTAGTTTGGATTTCATTTAGTAGACAGTAATACACTATATACATATTTATGATTTATTGTTATGCTGATTTTAATAATTATAGTCCAAAATATTACTGAATGAACTCAAGAAGTGAAAGCTAAAATTTAAATGAAATATTTTGGCACAGAAAATACTTTAATCTTAATTTTTCATTCAATCCTCATTCTAACTGAGAAAAACTCATTAAGATTAAAAATATCTTTCACAAGTGTCCTAGCCAAGTGGCAGAGGCACAATTGAAATAGTGTGCAGTAATTATAAATAACACATGCATTTAACTTTGACATGTACTATTAAAAATATTGTACAATTCATTTTCACAATATACAAATGTATTAACTTACACCTGTACACATGATAGAACTGAATTTAAATTTCAATATGAAACGACACACTTGCCTCTACGTCTTTACGTGTGTCATTATTCATTTATTTACTTATTTATTTATTTCTCTGTATTATTCAGATGTTTTTTCTGCGTCAGAGAGGTGTGGGCAGAGTGACATGGGCAGGTGAGGATGAAGAAAGCACACTGCATGAGAAGCACTGCCTTTAGCCTTTGATCTATGGCTCCTCATAAGAACTGCTCCCACTTAAACAGTCTCAACTGTCTGACCTTTCCGATGTTAAACGACAGATTGCCGTCCTTCATCTCAATCTGCGCAGCCTCCTCATCATCCTCCGCAATCTCAATACTGTCCTTGGACCAAATGATTTCAGTCTCAGGCTTAATGTTTCCAATCTGAGAGAGAAAAAAAAAGTATGAATAGAATTTCTAATACCTGAATTCATTAAAACTCTTTTGAGTTGGTGTTTTTACCTTGCATTTCAACAGCACGTCGCAGGCAGAAGTAACAGCAAAGCCAAGGTACTCCACAAAGTGAGGACCTGTGGGTAACAAAATCAAATTGAAATATTATTTACTTTCAATAAGTGCAACACACAGAGCTTTTAACCCCACTCATACACCAGAAATATGCAGTATAATTCAATATGTATCGAAAATACAGAATGAAATACATAACCATCACATCATATTAGGTTAATTACATAATTTTTTATTAATGTTAAATATATTATTACTTGTAATGATTTATATAAATGCCAATGCTTTGTTTTCAAGCATCAAAGTGCTACACTGGCTTGTGAATAACCATGGCAGAGTCATTAAAATTCTTTTGCTTTCAACTTTTACACAGCCTAAAACATCTGTAAACAATTTTGAGTCTTACCTTGTTTCCTGACCCATTCTGCTCTTTCAAACTCTGATTTCTTCTGCAGCTCCCTGAATTCTGTAAGAAGGAAAATTAAATTAATGTTGTATTCTTTATGATATAAGTGAAAATATTTATCTCAACACAAAAAAGTCCATTCACTGTTTAGGAAAGTTTAGTTCAAGTGAATGGTGAATGATCAGTATCAGTTGTACAGTATGACTCATTGCAGGATAAGCTGAAAAAAGCATGAATGAAATGAAAAAACACATTCAATGGAAAGTAGATCTCTACTGCCATCCAATGGACACAGTAATTAACTGCAACGTAAAGATCCACAAAACTACATTAGAACAGAGATAAAACACTTGTACTGTGAAAATACTGTATTACGCTTAAAGGGTAGGATTACAAATGTCTAGAACAAATATAAAATGCAAATATGTTTTAACACAATAAATACAATGAATACTTCTACTACTACTAGCCACTGCAGACTCATGTTAAGAACCTTGTAGTCTGTGAGTATGTAACCCATGTTGTTTTTAAAGAAGTAGTATACTTTTGAAAATAAAACTTCAAGTAAATTAATAATTTGAAAACATATACTTATATGTACCTTTTAGACTTTCAATTACTGTGTTATTGCAACAAATAGAATGTTATCATTTAGCTCTTACCATCACCAATCAGCACCAGACTGGTTGTGCCTTTAGCTTTGCCATCGACCAGTTTAAAAGTGAAAGTTCCCTCATCAGTCACCTCCAGAGAGTCCATGTACATTTCAATGATGCCAGAAGTCTTGTCGAAATTCATAGTATATTTCTGTAATGATAAAAATACAGATATTTTAGCAAAACATGTGCATGCCAAAGAATAAATGAGTTCTGGTCTGCAGGTGGTTGAGTTGATACCTTTCCCTGAGTGATGATGGCATCGTTGAAAGCATACTCCACATCACAGGCCGAAGTGCACTTCTCCACCTGGCACCAGAAACGCACACGGCCTTTCTCCAGCAGCTCCATCGACATCTCATTTTTGAAGGGAATAACTATGAGAAAATGAGCAAAACTTACTTATTACATTTCTCTACTGGTTCTCATAATAATAATAATATAAATTTGATTATCTACATCATGTACATAGAAAGTTAAATAGAAAAAGTATTTATTTACCGGGGAATTTGTGCTCATGGCTGAGATCTAGGAGACGTTTCAGACCTGTAAAACACAAAACATTTATTTTACTTTGAAGTACTGTGTGAAGATCAGGAAATTATAATAGTGATGACAATGAGGGATGAATTATGTGTGAACTAATATATATTTTATGTATGAATATGTGTGTATGGCTGGAAAAGATAAAATGGAGGCTCATTTTATCTCAGTATACAACAACATAAATCTAATTTGGTAAAATAGAATCAGGAATTACAGTACAGTACAACAAATACTACCAATCAGTTACTTCAGATCTATCACATAAAATATATGTAACAATTATACAGTAATAAATGTGCAGATCAACTACAGACTGTGTGTTTCACAATGTTTACATAATATAAACACAGTGATTGCATTCATTTAAATCCATAAAAAAATCTGATATAGTAGTATTTATTGCTAGTTTGGATAATCAAAACAATTATTTTCACTAAAACATTTGCTCCAATATACAGTATTTGTTAGAATGATGCCCCAAACATAGTCCACCTGTATGTATAAGTCAGTTTGACACTTTATTCCTCTGTGATCTCTGCGCAGACCCTGACAGACTTGAACTGGCCTGACAGGTGTAAACTGGCCTGGCAGGTGTCAGACTCACGCAGCTGTTACATGACAACAACAGACAGGGCCCTCAGGCACCTTTAGCACCTTTAGCACCTTTAGCACCACTGTCATCCAAACCAAATATAAACACACCAAGATCAGGTGTCACTGGCTTTGACCAGAGATGGTTTCATATTGATTTTTTTCTACCAGTATCCTATCTGTCTTGCTTTTGTGGACAATATTTGCAGATATCAATATAAATAAGTATCAGTCAAATCACTCCTGCTTAAATTCAAAAATTCTGTATGGACCTTTCTCCATTCACATGATACAATATTTATTATATAATAATATATAATATTATTGCTATAGTAACAGATCACCATTGCGATTTTGAAACCCATGAATAGTTGCAGTAAATTGACTTTCACTTTTGCAAAATGTTTCTATCTGATATGCTAATGATATAATTTGTTTTATTTGAAAAACACACAGCTATATCTTTATCTTATTTGTTTTTCTAATTTTCATTTTTGACTCACTAGGTTATTTAAAAGGCAAATCTGATGCAAATCTGAGGACAAACTGGGATTGGTTTACTGGCACACAGTTTAGAGCAACTTAGAAAAACATATTGGCTATCAGACCAATGCCAAAAAATGAAAAACCCCAAATATTGACTGAAATCAATATTAGAACCAATACCCATCCCCGGCTTAGACGTCATATAGCAGGCTGACTCACCCTCCTCTGTCAGGGTGTAGCTGGAGGAGATGCCCTCTGTGTTAGTGACCATACAAGAGTAAGTGCCCAGATCATCCAGAGAGGGGGAGTTAAAGATGGCCCTGGTTCTGTAGGAAAGGACAACATACAAATATGAGTCAGAGAGGGAGAACAAGTTTGGAAAAGAAATAAGTTACTTAAACAGTTTGATGTGGGAAGTATTTGGATGGTTCTTCACTTGCAGATTACATGGACATAAGAGACAGCTGATATTGACAAAAATTAACAATAATACATTTTTTTTTTTCATCTATCCAAAATGTTCTAAAATTTCTAATAAATGTTTAAGTTGAGGTTAAGATATCACGAACTAGTCAAGTAAAGGTCCAACATGTAACTTTTCTGGTGCTAGGCCCGCTTCTTATTATCTCATGGAAATTAGTTATTGCTTTGCCTGTAATGTTCCACAGTATGGCAATAAATAATATAAATATATATATATATATATATATATATATATATATATATATATATATATATATATATATATATATATATATATATATATATATATATATATATATATTTATTTTATTTTATTTTATTTTTTTGCTCAGAAATACCGTGAAAAAACAGAATTGTTAGTGAGATCATCAGCTTGTCTCCATGGAGTCTAAGGTCATATTGTGGAATATTCTAGGCAAAGCAATAATGGAGAAGAGTACGTGTCAGACACTCCATAAAAAATTCCATAATACACATTTAAACAAAGAATAGATTAATAAAAAAGCAAAAATATCAAATTACACCCTTGATTGTACCTTAAAATGCTTTCCCAGGGACCCATCTCAAACAAAAATGAATAATTAGACTTAATGTAAGCAAAGTTACGGCCATAGACTTGGATACTTACTTGCCGCCCTCAGTGACAATAGTGAGACGAGAGGTATCTGTGAGGGCTTCATAGTTTTTGGACCAAACAAACTCAGATCCCTCGTTCATTTCAGAGCATTCAAAGATCATAGAGATAATGCCATCATCGTCCACATCCACATAGATCTCCTTAGTGCCTGAAGAAGGGAGAGGAAACAAGAAGCTTAACAAAATCTTTAATATCATTACTATTCTTATTTGAGAAGTAATTTGAACATTTTGCACCCGCAAGTCTAAATTAAGCAAGAATCAAACTTACCAGGACGAGTCTGGGCAAGGATTGGACCCAGGTTTGCAGAAGCCTTTCCAACTCCAGTGAGATTTTGAGCCCGGACACGGAAAACGTAAGAGACACCTGATGACAAACCAGTAACCTAAAAATACAGTAAATGTTAGATAAGTTTACATTTATTTTATTTTTTCAAATTGTCTTAAACTCATCATTGTAAGTAATATTTCCTATCACTCAAGCTTAGTGTACATTACAAAAATAGTTACGAAAATCTTGAATTTGTATGTAATTTACTACTTTGTTCCAAATCACCATAGGAGTGTACTCAGGCAAACTTTATTGAGCCACAGTATTTATTACTTGGACAATACAATAAAACAATCTTGAAAAAAGGTCAAATCAAATAAAAAGCAATAAAGTAAGTAAAATAATTTGGTACCAGGTACATGTAAAAATAAATGTGTAATAGAAGAGCAACATAAACATGTGTTTTATGCTACAGCATTGCTGTTATAAATGTGTTATTTTGGGTTAGTTTTTTGAAAATGTAATCGATATTTGAATTATATAAAAGTCAGTGTGTAGTTCTTGCCTTCATGTACAGCTTCTTGTTGGCCTTTTCGTGAGCAGCCACCCAGCCCTCTTCTCCAGCTGAGACCTCCTTCAGGTCCAGGTAGTATCCATTCACTGGACTGCGACCATCGAACAGAGGAGGCTCCCAAAGCACGACCACAGACGTGTCCCGGACCTCCAGCACGTGAAGGCCAACGGGGACACCTAAAAACATTTTCAAACATAAGATTTAGGGCACAATTTAATACCTTTATAGTATAATAAACTTACCTTTGTTGGTACATTAGATTTACTCCAAGTGGATAACATGTAATAGCTACTACTCAAAACTACTCAATTGATGATTAAAATTCATTTAAACCAATTTAGAATCCCTTTTTGTGTATAAATGATTTTGCAGTGCTTTTATTACCTGGGACAGTAATGGTCCATTCCATGCACTCCCGAGCTGCACTGGGCAGAGATGCCTTGCTCACTCCAGCCATGTTCATCGCACGTACTTGGAACTGGTAGACAATGTTCTCCTTCAGGTTTTCAGCCTAAAACAGAAATAAAAATTTTAATTAAAATCTCAATCTTGGAGCTAGCCACTATTGTTTCTAGCTTTGTTTGAACTGTTACAATCCTTGATTTGAAATTAAAGATAAATTTCTTCTTACTAACTTAGCTTAATTCATTCAACTTTATGCTCTAAATGTAGTTTTATACTGCAATTGGCAAATAAACTGAACTGTATGTCATGATGAGTATGTCTGTATGAGTAAAGCATTTCAGGAGAGGCCCCACATAATTACACTATAGTTTATACGTAAGTGCTATTGGCAATACAAATAGGACCTACTTTAAAGGTGTTAGTGGTCACAGCCTGGTGGTTCATCTCGTGCCACTGTCCGGCTGCACTTCCTTTGACTGTCCTGTAGTCAATGAAATACCCCCTGATGTCGGCTCCTCCGTTGTGAGCTGGGGGGTCCCAGGTCAGAACCATGTAGTCCTTCACCGCCTCCACCACACGCACACCACTCGGCTTTCCAGGAACGGCTGTAATAAATCAAGCCAATTATGTGTTAAAATGAATAAAGAGAAATATGTATTCAATAATTAAATTCACTGACCTTACACCTCTGGTCTAATGATAATAATACATTTAGATTTCTTTGAATGAAAAGTGCTTTATAAAAAAAATCTAGTATTATTAGATATTGATTTTTAACCAAACTTGAAGACACTTAACATTTTTCATTTAAGCCTTTAATCTAGTCACAGCTGCCCTGGAGTGAACTCACGGAGACATGGAAATCAATTTGTCATTCATACACCACATTCCTACTAAATGTGGTAATTGTGACAAGAACAAAATCAGCAATATCCCCTGGCCAAGGCTGGAATCATCAATCACAATACTGTGTTATCATTTCACATATAAAGTAAAATACAGTTTGCTGTCTTTGCCACAACATTACTACACCTTAAAATATGCATGCAATAACAAAATTTAGAGTCAACATTTAAATACTTACTCCATGGTCAAATCCAAAGCCAGATGAATCGCTGGTTAAGTTCATGCTCTTACTATACAATATGCTTAACCTTCAACGTGGCCATGCATCAAGGCGTACCGCTAGAGAATTATCTATTGGCAAAACAAACCCACAACCAAGAAAAAAATATTTATAATATTACAGTTGGAAAACCTTTGTTAAATTGTTACAGTTGGCAAAGTGTGAGTATGAGAAAATGGATGTTGGTACCTACATAATTATGAAAAGCACAACCAGGCAAGTGAAGTGAGTACAACTGTTACGAATGAATGATGTTGGTTAAGAGAGCCAAGTTCATATTAACATGTATGGACATGGACAGATTAAATATATAATTGATATAAAACAAAAATGTGCAATAAAAAAGGAATACAGTTTATGATTACTGTAGTTTTCATGATGAAGAGATTAATTTGAAAATACCTGATAAATGACCTATAATGTGATAGCTGTAGAAAGGATGGCGTATTACATATGTAAATAACATGTGCATTAAATATTCCAATGTTAGAATCCTCATGCATGTTAGGGTGAAACAGAGAAGCACACTGACTTGTAGGCCGATAGATACTTACCCACAGCGTCCAGGACAACTACAGCCTCTGAGTTGGCTGTGACCTGACTGTAACCTGCAGCATTCACCGCCTTCACTCTGAACACGTAGTTAGCACCAGGAATAAGTCCATGGCACACAAACCTGAGAGAGAGAAAAAATATATATATTTATTTAATTTGGGAGGTAGCTGCAACTGATCTTTGAAATATACATTTTCAAAAGTACTTTAGGTATTATAAATAAATTGTATATCTATTTATCTTGAGTGATACCGACTATTCTTCTAGGTTAGGGTGTGCAAAAATCTTAACATATTTTTAGCTTTCACCAACATATATGCTTTTCAGCAAATATTTTATCAATTTTCTTTGCAATTCATTCTTAGATTGTTGTTAAATTATCAACCTTTCATCTTGTGTGAAAATACCTGGTTTGTTTGACAGGTTTGTTGTTACAGGGCAGCCACTCCTCGGTGCCCACCACACTGCACTCGATGTAGTATCCAGCCAGGTGCTTCACATCTTTGGACCCAGACCAGGACAGAACCACAGAGGTACTGGTGTTTCGGATGGCCACTGGGACTCCTGGAGCTGAGGGCAGGTCTGTATACAGAAAAAAAGACAACAAGTACTTTTATATTAGGAAACAGGCAATGAAAAGTTATGAAAATATTATTTCTACATCATGGCAACTGTTGGAAGTGTAGAGACTGAAATCATGTCGAAGAAAAAAGCCTCTGTCATTCTATGGTGAACAAACCACAGTGATATGTGAACTTTCAGATGAAAGTATTACAAAGCTGTTATGCACAAGCATTATTAATTATTTACCTTATTATAATTTTGCAACATATTAGAGTTATCAGAACATTTCAAACTCGAAATTCACTCATTACTTAATACCAATTACGATATCAAAATTAAGATAAAAATTGCTCCATATTCAGTAATAAAATTAAATTTTTATATACAAAATAATTGTCCTTTATCTTACCATGAAGTCTTATATTTCTTCTGTTAAACCTCAAAATCAACTTTTCTGTTCAAATTTGAATATTATTTTTTTGTGTTGAATACTTGCTCAAATGAATACCTAGTTTTGATATTAGCTTTGGCACTGGGGATTGCACACCACACAAATGCCAGGCTCTGTGGCCTCAGTGTGAGACTGATCGCTGTCAACAACAATGCTGAATGCTTCTTCCCACTTTTCACCTCCATTTCATAGTGCTGTCCAATAAGCTAAACAAATAGACAATGCAAACCATACCCATCTTGTCCCCCACAGTGGTCTCTGCAGTGGGCTGGGAGGCCTCGCTGGTGCCTGCAGAGTTACAGCAGCGCACTCTGAAGCTGTAGGAGTTTCCCTCGGCCAGGTCAAACAGAGCGAAGCGTGGAGACTTCACAGGCATCCCAGTGTTCACCCTCTGCCAAGAGTCTGTGCCTGAGATACACTGCAACAAGGGACAAAGAAGAGTGAAGATTTGAGGCTGGACACATACATAGACACAAAGAATGGTAAAAATGTTGTAGATGTGATATTTCAACAATTGCAAAATTGTTGGTCTTGGTTTTTTGAAATGCAAATATAATAAATGCACAAATTAAGTTAATAGGTAGCATTGTAATCATTCCCACAGATTTTAATAGATCCTATGGATAATAAATAAATGCATAAGTCTTTTTTTAGATCATGGGAAATAATGCCGCTGAAAATGTTAACTTTCAACACAGTATTGCAAAATTATCATGCCATATCATTTGATCAATATGATAAAAAAGCATAACACTTTGACAAAATATTGCCATAAATACATTCCAGTTCTTAAATACATCTTCTAGAGATGCACCTGAGCACGTCATCAGTGTAACCTGAGGTCATTGGGTGTTTCGGGTCTTTCAGCATCAGACACCCACACCCCCGACGACCCAGCCACGGTTGATCAGGCCGTGACTTGTGTTCATGTAGCGCTCATCCAAAGAAAACTCTAGGAAGTTGATTCAGTTGAGGAGAGATATATTAATAGTTTCGTACCTTCTCAATGTAGTACACGACCCCTTCGTGACCTCTCTGTGCCGGAGGTTTCCAGGCCAAAACCACATAACTCTTCGTTGCTTCGGTAACAACAACATCAGTGGGTTCACCAGGGACCACACCGGCTAAAGTGTATTCTATGAACAGGAAAGGTCAAGTATAAAATGTCACAAAACTACATGAAAACAGATATTACCAGTGGAATCTTCCTCTGTAAATTTGATCATTCCAGTCCAAGGAGCCAACGGGCCAGCTGTCAAAGAGAGACAAAATCAGAAAGTGCCACTGGGTATTTCATTATGGAATTACTCACTGACATTTAAAAGGTACATCGCCCAAAATTTATTTCCTCATGCTTTCAGTGTACACCCATCTCTACACAATTACTTACAGATTATACAATTTTAGAAACTAAGAATTTTGAAAGATCATTAGTATTAAATTATTAGATTAAATTCACATTCTTCTCAACAAGAAAGAAGCCTAATCAAGAGGCTAGGAGTTAGAGTTAGGGTATTAATTAAGTAGTTACTAAGCCTGAACCATTTTTTAAAAAAACTGCTCATTATTAATTATTAATTTCTTCAAGCTTTAATTAGGCTAATTAAAGTGTAGTTACTATAGTCGTACCAATAATACATATGAAATGAAATCTGCTATGATAAAATTGTGGATGGTGATAGAAAGAAGGGGTAAGTCAAAACATATTACTATTAAACTAATAAAATGTTTCCTTAATAATTTGGAACATGGATATCAATCATATTCATCTTATTTTTTATGATAATCAACATAACACTAAAGAAAGTTTTAAAAACAAACTTTTCAGTACTGTTTAGGGCTTGAAAAGGGAATAGACAGACATCTAACTAGTGATTCCGTTAGAAGTCCTTTCCCTTGAAGTCTGACCTCTGAGGCGTGCCCTGTCGGAGGGGTCCATAGCCACCACAGTTTCAGAGACTCTAGACGGACGACTCACTCCGGCCTTGTTCAGCGCCCGCACCCTGAACTGGTACGAGCGCCCCTCCACCAGCCCGGTCACAGGGTACCGGGCATACTTCACTGGGATGTCATTACACTGTGCCCAATGCAGAGTACCCGCTTCACACCTACACATAGAGAGAAAGCTTGGTAAATACTTAACCATTGTAGGACTGAAAGGAACAATATATTCTGTCTTGATTAGATCTGTTTATCTCCATGAGACCAGTATACTCAAGTAGCATATCTTACCATAGAAATATAAAATTACTTAAAGGTGCACTGTGTAACAGACAAATCTAATTATTATTATTCTAGCGCACAATATTATGCATTCAAACAGAATATGTCTAAAGTAGAGTGTAAAATAAACCTGTCAATGAAGTATCCAAGGATGGCACTGCTGCCCTCCACAGCCGGCTGTTTCCAGGTCACCACCACATAATCCTTGTTCACATCCTGACAGCGGACATCCAGAGGAGCCACGGGGACTCCCTCAACGTCCACCTCCGCATCTGCACACACAGAGCATGCATACAGTGGGGAGAGGGGCAGAAGAGATCAGATACACTTCATTTTAACAATTACATGTAACTGTCAGCTGTCCTCTAGATCACAGTTTCTCAAACTGTGGTACTGGTGCCTTTCAGTTGCACCTCACAAGTTCATACGCAAATGTCTCTGGAGTAAACAAAAAATCTTGGGAATCAATTTAATCCACATTTAAGTCTTATTTTGGGTTAGTTCTTGAAAATACTACCATAGTTGGCACTTGGTGATAAAAGTCTGACAATCACTCCTCTAATATTAACATTAAAATATTAAGAATAACTTTAAAGGTCTAGCATTACAATTTACCAATCCCTCTGTCTGATTTAGATCAGATTTTAATTCAATAGCACTTTCCACTCCAAACACCCAGCCCCCCTCACACACAAAAATATACAAATATCCAACAGGTATTATGGCTAATTTGACTTTTAGAATATAAAACACATCAGTGTTAGTGGAGGTGGATACGAACAGGCAAAGTGAAGAAGTCATGTGTCTAAATATAGGACTTTGCTCACGACATATCTGATTTCATTTTGACCCACTGTCAACTACAGTCTTTGAGAGGGCAGTGTGGCTATTTGCGTCAGATGACTTTGTACCATATTACTAGTATAGAGTGGTAACTTATCTGTAAATGTGATGTTAAAAAAGTGGTGTTGCACTGTATGTGTTATCACAGGCATTGAGACAGATAGTAGTGGCAACCTACCACAAATAAATTATAACACCTTCAGAAGTCTGCTTAAAGGCATATGAAACCAAATATTCTTCGTGCTTTACTTTGCATCAAAAGTCAACTTTACTAAGTACAAATGCTAATTAATACAGGCTTTTCTATACCACTTCAGTTTCCAACAACACCACAAATGCTATTAATTCCTTCAGGCTAATCCTGAGAGTAATACATTTGCAGCATTTCCCCTGATTTTACTACTCTTTATTTATTCAAGCAATTCAGGTCTTCTGTCATGTAAACATGTAAAAACATGTAATTAGTTTCCATGCATTTGAACCATTCAGTGATTTAAATAATTAGAATTTAAAAGAGATAACATAATGTTTGTTAACTAAATTAATTAGAGTATACTTGCCATTTATTTTTCTTTTTGTAGTTTGAATTTATTATTGAACTTTACTGCTCCATTAAAGGTTGTCCTTTTTTTTGACCCATCTTCCAACTAGTGCCACTGTGGAAACCTGTCAGTTGCAGTGGGCTCTAGGGACCCATGCCCAGATCTTGAGCTAGGACCTTGTTCAGCAGTACCTAACAGAAGGATTGGCTTTGTGCATGCTTTTATCAGCACTACATCTATTATAAGAACATGCTGTACCTCTGACAAACACGTAGGCGGAGTAGGAGTCAAATCCAGACTTGGTGTTGACGCGCAGAGTGTACAGGCCCTCATCCTCTTTGTTCAGATGAACCAGAGTCAGAGTGGCTCTCTCTCCAGACCAGTGAGTGTGCACCCACTTAGAGGGTTTCAGGGGCACAGCTGAGGAGGGCAATCACAACAAGGCACAATTAGTCCTAAAAATCTCTGTTATACCTTAATATTTTCAACTGATGGCAAATTCAAATGGCATCACATCTATAGGATCGGGCTGTTTAAATGAAATGAGGATAGTACAATGTTAATATGTAAATGTTTTGGTGTGGCTGAATAAATAGCAGCATAATGAACATTGTCAATAAAATACATCACTGGATTGACACATTTTCTTCTATATATTTCTTGAAACTTAATAAATACTGCCAACTGCCCTTAATCTCATAGACTAAAATCCAAAAATGAGCATAATTTGATGAGTACTTACAGTCTCTGTACCAGATGATTTCAGGCTGGTATTTCTTCACTGTGGGGTAAACAATGACAGTGCAGCCCAGACTCAGGGTCTCGCCCTCACGACCAAAAGCCACTTCAAACTTATCAATAATGGTGGTGTTAAAGGTGACACCGTGTTCAGCGCTGTAACCATCTACAACAGGACACAATAAAAAGAGTTTAGTGTTTGTTAGGTAGCTCAGAGGGTTTTGCTATTGTATACTACTTTGTATTTTGGCAACAAGGTTATACCAAATGACGATTAGCTGTAGGTGTGGTATGAGGCACAGCGTATATGTACATGTAAACTGCATGTATGAATGTTAAGTGTCAGTGAGAAATTTCTGGTGTTTTGGGGAGGCCACTGGCACAGATTGCTTGTTGCCCAAGGACAGCTATGGCTAAAACTATAGCTAGCCTCTACAGGGAGTTTATGAATTACAGCTTATTTTAACTTATTGTTTATGGTACATAGAAAATAGCCAGTGTAGTAAGTCAAGATAATTGCAAGAAATCGCTATTAAGTACAAAATAGGAATCTTACATTTACTATTGTTGGTTTTACAAAACACTTAAAGTTAATTTTGCAGTTGAAATCTGTTCAAACTCAAAATGCTTAGAGCACTTACGTGGTTTGGGATCAAGGGGACCTGCTTCATCACCCTCCTGGAACCCTGTGGCAAAACAGTCATCACTACATCAGCTTCCCAAAGAAATCTTAAGGATCATTTGAATAAAACACCTACGTTTGACAACAATCGTTGCAACAGAAGAAACTTCTCCCTTAATGTTGAGAGCGGAGACGTGATACCGAGCGGTGTCATAGAAGTCACAGCTGAAAATATGCCAAGGAAACACTGAATAAATTACACCTCATTTACATCATCACAAATAATAAGGTATATGACATCTTTATAACAGGTTTGAGTTGTAAGCTCTTAAGTTTAAGATTACCTACTTCTTGATCTCCAAGGAGTGCATGTTGTAGTTGCTCTCAACGGTGTACTTCTCAGGGTGGGCCTTAGCATCAATCAGGACGTTATTTTTATACCTAGAAATCAGTTATATGCGTAAATAAGATGCTGATATGTTTTGTAGTACCATGGAAATTATGTATAATATGTCAGTAGAGCTCAGCAATTAATTGAATTTTTAATTCAGTCATGTCAATGATATGCTTGAGTTGTTTTTTTAATCAAGAGACAATTCTCTGTCAACAAAAGCATGTTGTTGTGGGTTCAGACTTCGCAAGAATAAATTTGGCTACTTTTGTGTTTTTTTGTGTGGACTTATTAAAAGTCTGTGTTGTGTATGTTTAGAAAATCAATCAGTCAAAGTAAGCCCAAATGTGTTGTTCTCACCAAGCGATCCTGGGCTTGGGCCATCCAGCCACAGTGCAGAGCAATTTGACCGAATTGCCCTCCCAAACAGTCTGTCCACGGGGCTTCACTATGAATTCAGGAGAGTGTGTCAGGCTGTCCGGGTTCATCTTCTTTCGAAACTCAGACCACTCTTCCAGCTGAACCAAAAACAAAAGAAGTTAGACACAAGATGAAACCAGCTCTAACATAGGGTTGTCAAAACTGCTGAAAATCAGATATTAATCAATTCTATATTAAGTACAGAAACTAGATACTCATTTAAACAAGTATAAATACTAAAAAAGTCTCACTCAAAGGACAGAAATGAACGTTTCCTGAATAGCTTTAGGATGTGATGTTCTTCAGCTGTATTAGAATAAGTCCACATATACCAGAATATGCCCATAGACCACTATGGAACATAACTGGACAATTGAGGGATTATTATTATTGTGGTATAGGAACTGGTATTCCTAGTTCTATACATGAATTGACCCAAAAATAGACAAAACAGGGATTAAACTGACTCATATTCAGCAAATACAGAAGAATCTGCAGGCCACGTGAAGGAGATTCTGTACTAATGTTTGAGAAACAATTCCAGTCCTGAAGTCAGTGCCATTTTAGTAAAATATAAAAAAATTATAAAGTGTATATTTTACTGAAGTACACTTTTTATGATATGATGTACTTTCACAAGCTTTTACTTTTGAGTTTTTACATAGGTTTTGATTCACAATAAATGTAATAGTGATGACAGGGGTAGAAACATGTAATATTCCAAGTAAAATTATCCCTCTTCCCATACTTTAGAACAATATAAATATTTACCGTCTTTCCAAGCTCAACCCGTTCGGCAGACTCTCTGACGTGTCTGGAGTGGCTCTTCTTCTCCACCTTAATCTCCATGGCCTCCCGAGCCTCCCGCGTGAACAGGTTCCTCATGGCCACGTACTGTATGCCCTCCTCCACCCGCCCTTCCTCGCGGCCCTCTACCAGACCACGGACCACTTCATGACTGGAAAAACAAACTCCTTTTAGTCTGGATCAATGGTAATGATGCGTCATAATCTGAGAAACTCAGTGGTCCTTCATTTATTCTGACTGAAGTCACCCAAAGGCTAATCAACATTTAGCTTCTGTTTAGTTCCCCATTGTCTAATATTGTCAGGTGTATAGTTCTTGTTTAGTCTGGTTTAGACCTGGTTTAGTTCTGGATTTTAGTCTTGGTTTAGGCCTTGTTTGGACCCAGTATAGATCTGACTGCTTGTCCACTCACTTGAAAAGAAGCACTATGGAGACTATGGCCTCCTGGTTTGTCTAGTTGTTCTTGTAGATCAGGTTCAATCTTAGGACAATCTTGGGGTATAGTCCTGGTTTAGTTCTTGTTCAGACCCAGTTTAGATTTATTTGAGACCTGGTTGAGTTTTGGGTTATAGTCCTTGTTTAGACCTTGTTTAGACCTTGTTTCTTTCCCATTTATTTGGCTCTGAACTAGAGCACCACATATTCGGTGACGTTATTGTCTGTGTAGTTTGTTTAAACCAGGTTTAGTCCTTACTTAGTCTTGGTTTAAACCTAGTTTAGACCAGTTTTAAAACTTTCTGAATTTTCTGATTTCTGAATAATGGCACAGACCTCCTTGTCTGTGTAGTTAGTTTAGACTTAGTTTAAACCTGGTATAGTTCTGGGGTAAATCTGTTTATCCATCACTCACTTGGCTCTGACTAGGGTCCCCATGTTGTAGTCACTGTTTATTGTCCTGATTTAGTTGTAGTCCTGGTTTAAACCTGGTTTCTTACCCACTCACTTGACTCTGACCTTGTTTACTCCTGTTTTAGTCTTGATTTTGACATGAGGTATAGTCCTGGATTAGACCTTGTTTAGACCTGGTTTCTTATCCACTCACTTGGCTCTGAATAGGGACACCATGTAGTTTAGTCTTCATTTGAGCCTGGTTTAGACCTGGGGTAGTTCTGAGTTATAATTCTGGTTTAGTCCTTGATTAGACCTTTTTTAGTCCTGGTTTAGTCCGGGTTTAGCCTGGGTTTCTTCTACACTTACTTTAGTTCTGAATAGGGGCACCATAATTTAGTCTTGTTTCAGTCCTTATTTAGATCTTGGGTAGTCCTGGTTTAGACCTGGTCTCCACCACTCACTTGGCTCTGAATAGTGGCACCACGTAGCCGATGATCTCTTTGTCTGTGTCCATTGCCAGATAGGCGCGCTGGGCTCTTTTAGGTAACGGGCTCAGTCTCACCACCTCCTCCCCCTTGGTCTTCAGGAAGCTCTTCAGGCTGGTGCGACAACAGTAGTTAGAACAAGGATAGGGCACAGGGCAGGACAAAACATATTAACAGAGTACCAGTAATCCATATTTGCTGCTCCTGCTGAACTAGGATAGAGGATAGAAGGATAGATATAGGATATGCATAAGATATACATAAGAAGTAATAGCTTGTCTGCCAAATCTTGACTTTCAGACTGGTTCTCAATATTACCAATTTAAGGTCTAAGTAAGTTACATGATTACTTTAATAATTCTATAGAGTACTATGTGTTGAATCTAAACAATTTAATGACATCAAATTTATATTATTGTCTCAGTGTAATTTAATAAATATTTAAAATGACTAAAATTACCACATGCATAGAAAGTAGGAAGGTAGGCATAATATTATTTAAAGCTATGAAGATGCTCTAGTCCAGGTTTAATCCAGTCTGGACCAGGTTTAGTTCAGGATTCAGTCCAAATGTTGATGCAGTTGTGGTAATTTAATGTGTATTACAATATTGTGTGGCGACCTAAAAAATGCTACTTAACTTTCTGGGTTATGGGTTTCAGAATGATGAAAAGTTAGAACTGTTCCGACTGCAATTAACAATTCAAAACTAAATTTTATATCTTTTGAATTGTCAACCATCCTCAAAATTGCACCATATAACAGGAAGCTGAAATCCATGAATAAAACAAATCTGTGCTGTGGAATTTCTAAACGGTCATAAAGATTTCAAACATTAAGTTACTGTGTTTTACTGTGGTAAAAAAAGAAGATCAGGAATAGCAGACGCCAGGACTGTGGTGTCAAAGAGGTACAGCTGAGTCAGGTTCAGCTCATTTTGAAGAAACTTTTAGTTCAGCAAATTTAAAAGTCACAGGTGTAACAAAGTAAAAGAAAGTTATCAAGGCGTAAGTGTCATGACTTACTTTGTGGTGTCAATCACTGTGTAAAAATTAAAGAAAAATGAAGCAAGAAAAACAATATTTTTATGTTGTTTGGTAACACTGTGGACAAGACATATACAACAGCACCGCGGTAGAATGGAGACATATTTCTAAAAAAGTAGAGCTGTATAATATGAGTGAAATGCAGTATTCAATATCTAACGAAAATATAACAAAGACTAATCAAGACAATAACATATCTGCAGATGGATACTGCTTTGTTTATCCAAATCACATCTTGTTTTCCTACAAATAAAGATCCCATTATGACTCCATTAGCCCAATACAGTAGCTTTACACTAGCCTTACACAGATCCTCAGGCCTACTGTGACAGAAATAACCCCGCGGTCCATAAATACCACTGACAGCGTGTCTCACATAACTCTTTCTGCCCCGGTTTAGAAAGCTCTCCCTGTTTCCTACATGGACTAACCCCTGGCACCTGAAGGACAAAGGCCTCATGTTGACATGTGTTACAGAGAAAGATGAACAAAAAACTAGAATATGGAAATGGACACACAAATACATGTAAACAGATGGACAGACAAACAAAACATAACAGTAAGTGAAACAATAACAACATAATGTCTATATAACATAATATAAATACAATACTGTGCAAAAACATTCAACTGTTTTTGATTTGATGCATTTCTGGACAAAATGTAAATATTAGGAGACTCAGGCTGTGCTAACTGGGTCTGTCTCACAAAAGGTAAACATCTAGTACACCTAGCGCTATGCAGTTAGTTTAAGAATCATTACATTAAACATTAAATTAGATTGGAAGAAAATAATTTGTATTGTTTTTTTCATTAACTGATTAAAGTTGCCTCCTTAGAGATGTCTCCATAGAATGTTTTGCCTGGAATGTTCCACAATATAGCATTAAATCTCCATGGAGGCAAGCAGGTGATAGCACAGGGCAAAGTTCCAGATCAGATTAGTGGAGAGGTCACCCTGCTCATAGTAAGAATGTAAATATTGTTGAGAAATAAAAACACCTGTAATTTAATAAATGATATAACATTACAGGCAAACAAAAGCATCTCTGCAGAAACAAGCGGACATGGTGGACCCCTCATCAGAAAAGTACAGTTACATAGTGCACCTATAAAGATATTTGCCCACTTTTAGCTAAAATGCATTTGTCTTTAGTACATCACTGGTCTATTTTTAGATCACCTTTCCCAAATCTTTGAATGTAACACAGTATTGTATGTATATAGATGGCCAACAATGACAGCAAGGACAGAATGAAAACAAATAAAAATAGGTCGGTCCCTTCAACCTTTTGCACACGTCACTCCACTTCAGTACAAAATACATTATACACAACTGAGTATTTGAAAGACTTGATGCTACACAAATCAAGCATAACATGACCATGGTGAGTCAGGTGAAATGTATTTATATACAGTTCTATTCTGGGAGAGATATTTGAGGCAGTGGTTATACTATAAATTATAGAACTGAGCTTGAGGACAGGTTAGAATTCTTTGATGGAAAGTACTGTTTAACTGTCAAATTATAGCTGTTTCTCCTTGTTTGTGGTTAAAATATCTGTAATTACTGCACCTATCCATATGAAATAAAAACTAGCACAAAGAGCAACATCTTCTCTGTCAGTATAAATTAACTAAACTGAATTTCATTTTTCAAAATAGTTGCAGAATGTGGTGTCATTATTCAACCCCCCAAAACTTTAATGACTTAAAGATTAATTTGGCAAGTTTGTGGAGCCAATCCCAAACAATCAATGTAAGGTTCAACATTTGTGGATCATAAGTTGGGATACATTTTTATAGTGTTATATAGAGAGTTATATAGAGAGTATATATAGTCATATAGTTTGAAATCAACACATCATCTAATTCAAAGATGTGAAAAAAAAATACCACTGGTCTTAATGTTATACCAAGTTATGTAGTGGTACATCAAAACATCTTTTCAAACACAGAGCTGTCCCATGATAAGTATTTTGTTTTCTTACCACTCCAGGCTTTCGCTTGTCTGGCTGGCGCTGTAAGACGCGAATGATTGCTTGCTAACAGAGGACTTGGAGCTCCGGTAAAAGCTGCTCTCATAATGCTGCTGCCTCTGCTCCTGATGCTCCTGATGCTGCTGATGCAGCTGGACACGATGCTGCTGTTTTCTCTTTTTCACACGAACCTCTACTGACTTCTCCGCCATCTTTTAAAACTTTACTTTGTCAGCTCTGAAAATCAATCTGATTAAGGTAAAGGGTTGTTTTGGCGTTAAGTTGGTTAGTTTGGTCAGGTGATGGAGGTATTAGCTATTAGAGATGATGTTTAGAGGTTATATTTCAAAGGAGGTGAATCTTGGGAATTAGGTGAAATGGTATTATTTCTACTGTGTTAAATGAAGAAGCAGCATCACTGTAAGAGAACATGGAAGACTTTTATCTGCGCTGGATATAGTCGACTCACATGTTTTTATACCAACAATGAAATGTTGTTCCCATTTGTAAACAACAGGTGTTGTTTAATTGTGACTAAAGACAACTATCAACCTGCTTATGTCCAAGACACAATGACATTGTATTTTTATCCCTTGTACCTCGGAGAACATGTAACACACACTACAGAAGCATAAGCACTATGCAGATGGACTATGAAAGCAATCTGTCCAATAATAAATAGAGACACTTGCTTCCCACAATGAAAAGCATTGGCTGTTCTTCATTTAGTCGGTGACACAGAGACAAGGACACAGTAGACAAAGTAAAGGTTATGTGACGTTAGTGTGAAGGAGTTTCAAACCCCAAAGCCCAGTGAATTATGGATTAAAAGCTCCAGCTTTTAGGATGTTGTTATAAGAAACCAGATCAACTAGGCCTCAAGGCCTTCTGCGTTCAGATGATTATTACACCAAACACAATGACAATTTTAACAGTTCATATAAATTAAACACATTATGAATATTACTTACCACGAATGAAATCCACCTCTAAAGGTCGAAAATGCTAATCCAAAAGTAGCAAAAACAGGTCCAGATAGAGCAAAGCGGCAGGGAGAGGGGCAGTGGACAGGGCGGCAGTCCACAGAACAAAAATAATGCTGCCACTCGGCAGAATGCTCAAGACTCCGTCAGGACCATTTAAGGCTGGGCCCGCTTTAAATTTAGACCTGACTGAGACTGAGAGGGCCAGGCCTGGGCCCTGGGACCTGAGCGATGAGCAGGGATCTCCTGGTGCTTCCTCCAGAACAGGGGGAATGTGAACACAGGCTGGAGGAAAAAGGTATATTAGTCAAAGTGCCACTGAAAGAGTTGATAGTTACCACAATCAGGGACAGAGTCTCCCCTTACATTTTAAAAACCCAACAACTGAATGAAATGAACTAACAAAACTTAACACTCACACTGTGGGGAAAACAACTTTGCATACACCAGCTGTGACATACCCTTATAGTAATCTGTTAGATTCAGGGGTGTCAATAAAAATTGGCTGTAGGAATATACTTGAATAATGCTGCCCTCTTCTGACCAAATGTTGTATGCCATGTAAAATAAAAACACTGAAGACATTTTCGAGGTTTGGTTTTGGTTTGAACTGATAATTTAAAGACTTTCTGTAAGACATTGTTGTTTTGTTGCGGTCACAGTCAGTCAATAAACAGACTGACATGTAATGATGTAAAATATGATGTAAGGATTATTACAGGCTCAACTTTGATTGGTCAGTTCTGACCGGAAGTGTAACATCATAACAGCTTGCGCTTGTGCTCGGTTTTAAGGACAGGTGTGTGAATAATCCTTATTTTCTACGGTGGGTCTCTTTTAATTGAACATTATCAAAGTACGTATTTTGCGTTTTATGATAAGATGTGCGTTTTGGTGCTAATCTTTGCGACAAATCTTGATCCGTGCATAAGACGTAGAAATGTGGGTCAGCTCGAGCTAGCGGGTTAGCTTATTTGAATGGGCCGAGCAGGAAAACAGGGTTAAAGAATGTGCACTGTGGTTTATTGGCTCGTTTAAGTTTCTTTTGCACCATTAACCTCATTATGTTATTAACCATTAAAAGTGCAAGATTTGTTTCTAGTTTGTGGGGTTCTAGTTTTGTTCAACCAAGCACAATTGATTTAATTTTATTTAGGCTATATATTTCATTTAATTAATTAATTTTTTTAACTAACCTCATAACCTCATAGCTCTGTGTTCCTGTCTGCGATAAGGACTTTAATTTACCAATGTCTTCATAAAAGAACCATTTGTAGAAACAGTTTGTGAGGTCATAATTGAGGTTCATTCTAAAAAATGAATATCATTGTGTACTAACCCGGATATTTTAATTAATATTTTAGAAGGAGGTACATATCAAGCTTTCAAAATGTCCAGCAAAAAGGCCAAGGGGAAGAACACTAAGAAGCGTCCTCAGCGCGCAACGTCCAATGTGTTTGCAATGTTTGACCAATCACAAATCCAGGAATTCAAAGAGGCCTTCAACATGATTGACCAAAACAGAGATGGATTTATTGACAAAGAAGATCTCCACGATATGTTGGCCTCGTTAGGTAAGGCACAAAATTATTATACTTTGAGTTGGTGATTGTTAATGTGTAATTCCTGCCTTGTTCCTGTGTCAGGTAAAAACCCAACAGAGGAATACTTGGAGGCAATGATGAACGAAGCGCCTGGACCAATCAACTTCACAATGTTCCTGACCATGTTTGGAGAAAAGCTGAATGGAACAGATCCAGAAGACGTCATTCGAAATGCTTTTGCCTGCTTTGATGAAGAAGGAACTGGTGAGTTTGTAGTAATGTTAACAGTAAAATTATCCAAAAGGGAAGATACAATGTAAGAACAATGTAATACAATGTGATTTTAATTTTCATGATAGACAAATTATAAAATAGATCTACTAGTAGTTTCAAACACAAGACAAACTAAAGAATTTGTTTAGATGAATGAAAGAGCTGGGACATCTATGATATTTGTTGAAGTCTATTCATTGTGTGTTTGGAGCACATTTTAAACCACTAGCATCGTAGGTTAATATGTAAATTAAATTGTTAATTTTGTTCATTAAACAAGACATTTGGCACACATTGATAGCCTCTTTTCCGCCCGTCAACCTAAGGGCAGCTGTGCCTTGAATTGTAGCTTACCATTTGTGAGTTTGGCGTGAATGATTAATGCACCAAATTGTAAAGCGACTGGAAAAACACAATATAAGATAATGCATTATTATTGTCAAAATTATCCAAGATAGTACCATATGATAATGCCAAACCATATTGGTTTACTACTAGACTAATTAATAACCTCAACTTTTTTTTTAACTTGCAAGTGGCATAATGTTTTAAGAAACAGAAGCAAATGTAACAATATTCCCACTGCACAGGTATAATCCAGGAGGACTATCTGCGTGAGCTGCTGACTACAATGGGAGACAGGTTCACAGATGAAGAAGTGGATGAGCTTTTCCGTGAAGCACCAATTGACAAGAAAGGCAACTTCAACTACGTAGCATTCACCCGCATTTTAAAACACGGTGCAAAGGACAAAGATGACTAACAAAATTACATTCACTTAATCACTACTTAATCTTGTAACTCTTCATTTATGTATCATTTATTTATGAAATATTGAATGTGGTATACCTCATTGAGTCATTTGTACACGCTTACTGCTGGATCCCCTCTTTAATCCCTCAGCTTTGAAGCATATTTGCACAATTTTAAGGGTTTCACTAGAAAGTATGTTTAAAAAGACTCACAAATGCTGGATAAAACTGGACTTTATCTGAATAGACTGTTGTGTGATGTTATGACTGTATTTTAATGAATAAACATCCAATATCATTTAAGTGCATGTATTTTAATGGACAATTGCACATACATGTTTTTTACATATTACAGATTAGTTTTTTGGGGGGTTTTTTCCAGAAAGATTCAGATCGGTGCTCTTCACTGAAATGCACTTTGGAGAACACATATAATTCAACACAAACATTAACATTTGGGCTGGATCAATCAGCCAAAGTTTCCTTTTTTTTTTTTTTTAAGGAGACTCAGCACATCATTTTCTGTAAACACAGCAAAATAAATAAGTCAAAAATTGCTCCACACCTGAAGCTTTCTGTACAGTCACTGCTCACAGAACAGTGTAAAACTTAAAATATGATTATTCTGCCAAGGCCAAGTTTTTAGACTGAATCTTTGTTATGTGGTCTGATATGCAAGCTTCAATTCTGTCACACTGAGCCAGGAAATCCTACAGGCAAATGAATACAGTTAATACACATGTGCATTGTTATAACTGGTACATTTTGATGAAAAGGTTTACCTGTACTGTTTTTACAAGCCCTTTCTTCTTCATTCTGCAGTCGTTAAAATTTTCTGGTAAGCTCTGTGGAAAATAAACCCATTTAGAAATAAATTTATATGCAAATATCAGAAAACAATTATAATTTACCATAGCATCTATCTGTTCTAAGATCTTCATAAATTGTTCAGCTGCAGCTTTCACCCTGTGGTCAAGTTTACTCAGTGCTTCTGCTTGAAGGTCTTTGGCCAAAAAGCCCTGTAAAACATTTATTTTAAAAAATTATAAACACAAATGGATTAATATACTTTAATGATATCATGTTTACTTACATTCTTAAGGCCAGTTAGTTCCCCATCCACTTTTTCAAGCTTCTTTGCAGTTTGTTCAACAGATTTTTCAATATCCTTCAGCTTCTTCAGTTCTGCCTCTTCTTCTGGACTGTTCTACTTGAGACCAGGTATGACTTTATTAATGTCTTATAAAAATAAAAAAAAAATCCAAAATAAAAGGACCAACATCAGCATTACTAAAATGCTACAATGGTTTATGAATCATTTTTAAGTGAGTGTACCACCGATTACAATACAGTATTATGGTACTAGTTGAAATAATATTTTCAGATCATAACAAAATTGTTAACAGAATGAATAAATGTGTCAGTAATATAATGGTGATCAAAATAATATAATACGTGTATATGATGAAGCAAACAGTCTCACCCTTTTTCCAATCATCATTAGTTTACAGCCAGTTTTAACACCATAACTAGACAGATTCTCCTCCATTTCTTTTAGTGATTTTCCTTAACAATTCAAACAAATAGCATTGTTAACAAAAGTCTACTTATAAACTTACTAATATCCAATTTCTGATTAAATATGATATTACATACCTTTGAAGATAATTTTCTGGGAGGGTTGTGGAACACCTGTGGCTTGTGTGAGGGCATCAGACAGATCTTTGACAGTGGGAGCGTTGCCATCACTGCCTGATACTGTGATGTTGTGTTTTGCAGAGCCTGAAGTGAAAGCAAAAATCCTTATAGGAGGACTACACACGTGCTTTTCCTCATTCTTACTACTAAGGGTAATCAATGGCTCTTACAATAAAGATAAAGAAGGGTCCTATTATTATTACACCTGTTATCAAGATGATTTCAAATTATAAATTGGTGTAACTCATGTTTCTCTTACTAAACAAATGGATAATTTACCTATTTAAGGTTGCAACACCGTTTTGTTTATAATTTCTAGCATTAGCTTTCGTTAGCAGGAGGCGTGCTAGACATTTCCGCTACATGTTTTACTATCGTTGTCACGTTTACTTCACGTTAAATCAACATTATTCTCTATTAATTTGAGCATGGCATTACCGTAGGCAACGGTCACTGTTAGTGTTTCCTCTGACATGGTAGTTTAATAGTGCGATCAGAATCACAGGTTAAAAGAAGATGCAGAAGGAAATGCAAAGCTAAGCTAACTAAAAGCTACAATGAACAACTTCCGGTGCCGACAGGAAGCGGTGTTATTATTATAAATGTATAATTTGGTATTCAATATTTATTTTATTGGCGGATCTTTGTTGACGTATCGTATCATAAAATTATATTATTATTACTATTATTATATGTTATACATATATTTTATCTTACAATGTTAAGACATATATAAGGCAGAGAATAAGTAAAACATTTATTTCGCATGTTTCAGTGACAACACAATAGTAAGAAAATACACAATAAATCACTAAATAATACTGACAACACAAATAAAATAAAATCTAATTAATTAATTTAATTTAATGTAAAACCAGTGTCAAAAGAAAGCATGTTTTAGTTTGTTACAAGGCCTCATGCTAAAGTGGTAGTAGTAACAAAACACAACCCAGCGTAATGACATCTCCAAATATGTAGTTTTGGGTCAATATGGATTTGAATGTTTTAATGTTACTCTATATGTAAAAGTGATGCTGAAGTGCAGTAGTTATCTCCATCTGTGCTTTACGAGGCTGGGATTTGAGGCAGCCCAAACTCATCCACCAAAACACCATCCTGAAAGAAAACGTAAATAGGAGGAGACTAGAATAATAATGCTTTACATGTTATACAAACAACAGTGGAAGTAGTTGTGCATACATTCAGATTTTTTTTGTAAAATAACAATAAACTTCTTAGGAGGATATAACATATTTATTCTTGAAAATAGTTAAATATTCTAATTCACATGATAATAAAATCCACAAACATCTATATGTAATCTATAAAGTTATACCAGACATAACAAAGTGGTGGTACACAGGATCCAGTTTTAAGTCTTGTTTTCCTTAGAAGACAATTATAACTAGTACTAATGTAATACTAGGCACATTTTAGACCAGATTTAACCCCTAATTGCAGCTAGTAAAGACGTGATCTAGCTCTAGTGGTCCATAAAAATTGAAAAGCCAAATATTTTTTAGAAGGTGCAAGGCATAAATGATTGGAGAATAACCAAACCAGTGAAGATTCTCTGTATTTTTAGATAAAGCCATCCTGTATACTGTGGAAGACGCTAATTAGACATTAGTGAGAATACTAAAACTTTGGTCACCCTTGACTTTCCCATAGATATACTGTTACCTTATTTGTTTTGCTGTCACTGGGAACTCCCTCAGGAATAGATGGGGCAGCTGTGGCTTCGTCCAGGTAAGAACTATCATCATCCAGCAACAATTCATCTCCCAGGGCATCCAGCTCTGTAAAGAAAGATATGTTTATTAATAGCATATATGTTAGGCACTGTCATAGTTTCCAAAGGCCATTTTTCCCACTGAGTAATCATTTTGTTTGTTATGGTAAATTTCTGTGCTATAATCAATTGTAAGAGACTTGCCCTAGTTACGTGAAGTGCTAGTGTCTGATTACAAGCATTATGACCTGATTAGCACAAACACAGACAGAGCAGCACTTAAGTATATTATCTAATTAGAAAATGCATAATGTTTTATTTATGTCTTGTCTCTCAGGATGTTTGCATTTAAAAATAAAGAAACGTACCGGCTTCTAGATCATCCTCGTCAATATCTGGAGTGCCGTAGCTGCGGCTGAGGGCTTCCTGAACTTCATTGGCATCCTCCATCATGTCCTCTAGTTGGTCCTGCAAATCCTGAAATTATACATACTTGTAAGAGGCATGTTAACGGTGGGAATTACTACAAAAGTGAAAAAGTGAATATTTTGATGTTGTCATTATCTTGATAACAGTAATCGGACTTTGTAACAAACGTGTCCATGTAATTTCCCTGTGGCTAAATAAAGTTTTAGTTTATATCGTTATATTGTTACAATATTGATTGATATAATCTTTGAAACAATTATTCTTCACTTCTATATTTAATTTACTGTTAACTAAACTAGAAATATGCTATTCCCTCTCTAATCTGTGTACTAGCTCTAAATCATGCTTGATTTCAATTCTAGGTTTTGTTAACTTAATTAGTTAGTAAAGTAGTTAGTTTCTAAAATTATACTTAATATATACTTATAGCTGCGATAGCTCACAGGTATGAGCAATTCTGATACCTAATAAACTTATCAAAGACATGTACTGTAATATCTGGTAGGTTTAACTTTGCCTTGTCAATAAAATGTGGTACACAATTGTTTTGAGTCTTTTTTAGGCATCTGACAACCACAATAAGACCGAGCTATAGATGGCAGGTTCACTTTATAGATGTAAATTGTATAATTGTACACTAAAAAGAAGCTTACATCAATTTGATCTATTTTCACATCTTTGTAAGCCCTCTTCATTTCCTTGGCTCCAATCTTCATGGCCTCCACCTAGAATAAACATGATAAAAACACAAGATAACAATAAATGTTTACTTCTGATTCTGCTTCTTCATTAATTAATATTCTTACTGTTGTTTTTGTGTCCTTGAGTGTCTGAATTGTGTAGTTTGCTTGCTCCATGTTGAAGGACTGTTGCGCCAGTTGTTCCCTTTGACCTTCATACCTAGTTTTGGACAAACATTTGTTGTATTTGAGTCTAGAATGTAATATTTAATATTTAAAAACATTCAACCAGAACACTTATGTGAGCAAAGGAAATTGAGAAAAAAAATAACCAAAGACGATGTCATGACAAATAGTAAGGGTCACCAAAGAAGAGAAATCTTCATGGGGTCATGTTAGTTGACATTTTAGTCCAATTTAAATATGTGATTAGAATACATATAATTAATTAGACCTAAATGTGCCACTTCAGAAAAATTTTATTACTGGCCCACAGTAATTGGTCCTACTACCAACACAATGATGCAATATAATGCTTTTAATTTACAATAATTTGAGTTTCATGGTAATATCAGGGCATGTGGATATTGTACTGATAACTGATGAGATGAGGTTTGTAGCAAACAATATTGTAGTAACAGCCAATAATGCCAATACCGTAATAATTGTAGGGTAGTTCAAAGGTGATATGCCGATAATGTAATAACAGATCGATAATGTAATAACTATGGTGAGCCAGTAACCTAATGACATCATGCAGGTAA